TTCTGCCCAACGGTGAAGAGCGTGAGATCGAAATCAAGAACGCGCTATATGTTCCAAGTATGAGCAAGAACCTGCTCTCGGTGCCACAGATTAACAGCCATGGCAAGTTTCAAGTCGTGTTTGATGGGTCCAAGATGTATGTGACTCTCAAGAACTCACAGCAAGTGGTGGCGACAGCGGATCTCGTGGATGGACTCTACTGGCTTCGGACGACTCAACGATCAGCGAATGTGACAACAAGTGGAACCAGTTGTGCCGATCTACATGCGAGAATGGGTCATGCTCCAGTCGATGTACTTCGCAAGATGATCGCGACCAACATGATCAAGGATGTGCGAGTCCCTCTCAAGTCGGGTGGAGCAACTACATGTCGAGGATGTCAACAAGGGGAAAATGGTCCAAAACCATTTCCAAGCAACCGAGACAAGCGCAGCTACGACACGTTTGAGCTACTTCATCTGGACATCTGCGGGCCCATGGAAAAGGATTCGCTCGGTGGCAGCAAATATTTGCTGCTGATCATCGACGAAGCCAGTGGATGCATGAAGGGCTTTTGTCTACGAGTGAAGTCCGAGAGTGAAGACTACATCCGGAAATATATCACCATGGTACAGACGCAATTCTGTAAGAAGGTCAAGTTCGTGCGACACGACGGAGCTCGCGAGTTTGCAACCAACTCGCTTCAACTGTTCTACGAAGACGAAGGCATTGAACAGCAGACAACGGTGCCGTATGCACATCAAACAAACGGAACAGCAGAGCGTGCCATTAGGACTATTGTCACGATCGGCCGCAGCATGCTTCATCATGCCAAACTGGACAAGTGTTTCTGGGCCGAAGCAGCGATGACGGCCATCTACGTCAAGAATCGACTGCCGTCACCTAAAGTCGTGCACAAGACCCCGTTTGAGATCGTCTACAACTTGAAACCAAGCGTCAAGCACATGCGAACATTCGGGTGTCAGACATACATACTGACGCCTAAAGAGAATCGACTCAAGTGGGATCCAAAGGCTCGCGCTGGCATATTCGTGGGCTACGAAGAAGTTTCGAAGGCATATCGTGTTTATGACATCGAGGCGGGGCAGGTGGTTATCAGCCGCGATGTCAACTTCGACGAGTCCACCTTTGGACTTCAACTGCCGATCACTGATGAAGATGTCGATGACCTGGACTTCGAATTGCTGGATCTTGATGACGAAGAGCTGCGTCAAATGGAGTACAAGCAAACAGGCAAGCGCAAGAACCGACTCAATGATGAAGATACAGCAGCTCCACGACCGCGTGCAGTGCGTCAACGACCAGGACTAGAAGAGTCAAGCGCGCCGGAAAACAACTCGTCACGACAAGAAGAAGACGAAGAAACGAAGGATTCTGGTGATTCAACACCGCCTGTGTTTTGGCGTGCGAGTGCAAATGCCGTTGAAGCAGCAGTGGACTTATCAGAACCCTCAACATTTGAAGCAGCAGTAAGCGGCCCTGACCAAGTGCACTGGAGAAAAGCAATTCATGCAGAGCTCGAGTCAATGCGACTTCGCGGTGTGTTTCGTGCAGCCAAGCTGCCCAACGGACAACGCGCCATTGGCACAAAATGGGTGTTCAAGATCAAGCGTAAAGCGGATGGATCTATCGAGAAGTACAAGGCACGACTTGTGGCCAAGGGTTTCCGCCAAAAGTATGGCATCGACTACACGGAGACGTTTTCGCCCGTGGTCAAGTATGTGACGCTGCGAATGGTGATCGCAATTTCCAAGCATTTTGGATGGCCCATCGACCAGCTTGATGTGGTGACAGCTTTCCTGTATGGCGTCATGAAGGAACAAGTGTTCTGCGTGATTCCTGAAGGCGTCGAACTTGACAGTACGTTTGACTGTCTCGAATTGGTGAAGGCAATTTACGGCCTGAAGCAAGCGTTGCGAGTATGGAACGAGACTTTTGACGAGTGTGTGTTCCATTGGATTTCAAGTGTCAGGCTTCGACCCATGTCTCTACATCAAGATTTCGGACGGCCATTGCGTGTTTATACTGGTCTACGTGGACGACGCCTTGGTGACTGGAAGCTCACCCGAGTTGATTGCACACACCAAGAAAGACCTGAAGACGCGGTTCGAAATGACGGACAGCGGCAAGTGTGCATTTGTTCTTGGAATTGAGCTTTTGGACGGTGAAGATGGCAGTGTGACACTATGTCAGCGTCGGTATGTCGATGATATCCTCAAGCGATTTAGCATGAGTGATTGCAAGGCTGTGTCAAGTCCAGTGGACATGAGCTCTCGACTCGTTTCAAGCGATGCAGCTACCAAGGTCGATGCTCCTTTTCGCGAAGCTGTTGGTGCGTTGATGCACCTGACCACTGCAACGCGTCCGGACATTGCGTTTGCTGTGGGCTATGTGTCGCGGTTCATGGAAAATCCCCAAGAAGAACACTGGGTTGCAGTTAAGCGCATCTTCCGCTACCTACAAGGCACCAAGATGCATGGAATCTGCTACAAGCCAAGTGCGAAGATCGACTTTCGTGGCTATTCAGATGCAGACTGGGCCGGTGACCTTGCTGATCGCAAATCGACGTCCGGCTACGTCTTCATGCTATTGGGTGCTCCGGTGAGTTGGGGCAGCAAGAAGCAGCCAAGTGTTTCGTTGTCCGCGACTGAAGCTGAATACATCGCACTCAGCTTGGCGATTCAAGAGGGCAAGTGGATTCATCGTCTGCTTTGTGAGATCGTGATGGCTGCCAATGAAGAAGGACCGGAACTCATGATCCATGAAGACAATCAGTCGTGTATCAAGATGACAAAGAACCCGGTCAACCACGGCCGTGCCAAGCACATTGACATAAAGTATCATCACATCCGTGATGAGGTCAAGCGCGGTGAAGTGAAGCTCAAGTACTGTGAAACTGCGGTGATTTTAGCGGACATCATGACGAAGGAACTTCACGGGCCACGCCACAAGGAGACGACGGCGGCTCTCGGGATTTGTGCGTGTTCGCATTGAGGGGGTGTGTTGACGGTCATCGGTTTCCTACCGGTATTGGTAACTGTGACCGGTCCAATCCCAACCACCTGTTCTGTTGACGGTCATCGGTTTTCTACCAGTATTGGTAACCGTGACCGATCCAATCCGAACCGCCTGTTCAGCTTAGTATTTACGACGTAGTTCTTACGGTAATTACCATAGTTGATTAGACGCGTAGGATGATGAGACGCTTCACATGATTTATATGTAGACTACATATAAATCATGTAGTAAGTAGTAAGCCCCGATAATCAATCACTTTCGAATCTTCCAACTATTGGGCAAGTGTTTTCTGCTCTACTCTCTTCGGTCTCTCCGCTCCGTTTGCTCCGCTTTCCTCGCTCCGATCTACAATGCAACAGGTTATGAGCCCAAGCGCCATGTCGTCCACCAGCAACGCCTCCATTGACAAGTTCAACGGAGAGAATTACGCAACGTGGAGCCGGTACATGCGCGGTGTGTTTTTGACGAAGTCCGTCTGGCACGTTGTCAACCGTGAAGTGACTCCGACTTTCACCGACCCGCGAGCGTCCGATGACTACGTCAAGGCAAGCAACGTCGCGTTTGGTATGATGCTGCTGCACATGAACGCGGACTACCATCATGTGCTGGACAACTGCGAGGAAGCCTGGGTTGCGTGGACAAGTCTGAAGACGCTGTACGGTGGGTCGCAGAAGGCAGGACGCATCTACCTCAAGCGACAACTTTTCAGTATCAAGATGGCTGAAGGCGCGAACGTCATGCATCACTGCAACGAGGTCCTCAACATCTCCGCCAAGCTTAGCGGCATCGGTGCGAAGATGGAAGACGAAGACGTTGCAATTTGTCTGCTACTCAGTCTTCCGAAGAGCTACGAAAATGTGGTGCTCAACATGGAAATGAGCAGCACCGAGCTTCGCACTCAAGATGTGGTGAGAGTCCTGACGAATGAGCATGCCAAGCGTCAAGGAGAAAAAGGGACAACGACAGCGACTACGGTGAAGGCTGAAGATGCAAGCAAGGCATTCAGCGCCGAGCGTGAGCCCTACCAATGCACGTATTGTGGCAAGGTGGGACACACGGTGGATCGTTGCTGGACAAAGCAGAAGAACGAAGGTCGGGGAGCCCGACGCGGCGGCAATGGTCGTGGACGCGGGGCTAACAATGTCCAGTGGGGACATCATGATGAAGGCAATGGCTACGATCGAGTGGCGTTTGCAGTCTCGTTCGAATGTGGAGTTTCGACGAGCAAGGACGTGTCTGGAATGTGGGCCGTCGACAGTGGTGCAACGCACCACATTTGCCACGACAAGACCAAGTTCGCAAGTTTGGCAGAGCGCAATGAGGGCGAACTCTTGGTGGCTGATGGCAACAAGGTGGCCATCAAGGGTGTGGGAACCATCATGGAAAAGGTGGTTCTGCCCAACGGTGAAGAGCGTGAGATCGAAATCAAGAACGCGCTATATGTTCCAAGTATGAGCAAGAACCTGCTCTCGGTGCCACAGATTAACAGCCATGGCAAGTTTCAAGTCGTGTTTGACGGGTCCAAGATGTATGTGACTCTCAAGAACTCACAGCAAGTGGTGGCGACAGCGTGTTGAAAAGACAGCGGCTGTGAAGAAGACACCTCGTCAAGCTGCGTCAAGTGTTGAAGCAAGTGGAAGACCAAGCTTCGCTATACCGGTGGGTACCGGTATGTACCAGTAAGGGCGAAGTCAGGAAATGACGTCACTGGATGACGTCATTGCATGACGTCAGTGGGTGACGTCAGTGGGTGACGTCACTGGATGACGTCACTGCGAATAATAGGCTTAGAGGTAGTATTCAAAGTTGCGAACTAAGTACCTATTATAAATATATATTCACTTTGCGTTTTGCACTCGGACCAAGAAGTCTAAAGTTCATCACGGACGACTCAACGATCAGCGAATGTGACAACAAGTGGAACCAGTTGTGCCGATCTACATGCGAGAATGGGTCATGCTACAGTCGACGTGCTTCGCAAGATGGTCTCCAACAACATGATCAAAGATGTGGGAGTGCCTCTCAAGTCAAGTGGATCAGGTACATGTCGAGGATGTCAGCAAGGGAAAATGGTCCAAAACCCATTCCCAAGCAATCGTGACAAGCGAAGTTACGACACGTTTGAGCTACTTCATCTGGACATCTGCGGGCCCATGGAAAAGGATTCGCTCGGTGGCAGCAAATATTTGCTGCTGATCATCGACGAAGCCAGTGGATGCATGAAGGGCTTTTGTCTACGAGTGAAGTCCGAGAGTGAAGACTACATCCGGAAATATATCACCATGGTACAGACGCAATTCTGTAAGAAGGTCAAGTTCGTGCGACACGACGGAGCTCGCGAGTTTGCAACCAACTCGCTTCAACTGTTCTACGAAGACGAAGGCATTGAACAGCAGACAACGGTGCCGTATGCACATCAAACAAACGGAACAGCAGAGCGTGCCATTAGGACTATTGTCACGATCGGCCGCAGCATGCTTCATCATGCCAAACTGGACAAGTGTTTCTGGGCCGAAGCAGCGATGACGGCCATCTACGTCAAGAATCGACTGCCGTCACCTAAAGTCGTGCACAAGACCCCGTTTGAGATCGTCTACAACTTGAAACCAAGCGTCAAGCACATGCGAACATTCGGGTGTCAGACATACATACTGACGCCTAAAGAGAATCGACTCAAGTGGGATCCAAAGGCTCACGCTGGCATATTCGTGGGCTACGAAGAAGTTTCGAAGGCATATCGTGTTTATGACATCGAGGCGGGGCAGGTGGTTATCAGCCGCGATGTCAACTTCGACGAGTCCACCTTTGGACTTCAACTGCCGATCACTGATGAAGATGTCGATGACCTGGACTTCGAATTGCTGGATCTTGATGACGAAGAGCTGCGTCAAATGGAGTACAAGCAAACAGGCAAGCGCAAGAACCGACTCAATGATGAAGATACAGCAGCTCCACGACCGCGTGCAGTGCGTCAACGACCAGGACTAGAAGAGTCAAGCGCGCCGGAAAACAACTCGTCACGACAAGAAGAAGACGAAGAAACGAAGGATTCTGGTGATTCAACACCGCCTGTGTTTTGGCGTGCGAGTGCAAATGCCGTTGAAGCAGCAGTGGACTTATCAGAACCCTCAACATTTGAAGCAGCAGTAAGCGGCCCTGACCAAGTGCACTGGAGAAAAGCAATTCATGCAGAGCTCGAGTCAATGCGACTTCGCGGTGTGTTTCGTGCAGCCAAGCTGCCCAACGGACAACGCGCCATTGGCACAAAATGGGTGTTCAAGATCAAGCGTAAAGCGGATGGATCCATCGAGAAGTACAAGGCACGTCTCGTGGCCAAGGGTTTTCGCCAAAAGTATGGCATCGACTACACGGAGACGTTTTCGCCCGTGGTCAAGTATGTGACGCTGCGAATGGTCATCGCCATTACCAAGCACTTTGGATGGCCCATCGACCAGCTTGATGTGGTGACAGCTTTCCTGTATGGCGTCATGAAGGAACAAGTGTTCTGCGTGATTCCTGAAGGCGTCGAACTTGACAGTACGTTCGACTGCCTGGAATTGGTGAAGTCAATTTACGGCCTCAAGCAAGCGTCGCGAGTGTGGAACGAGACGTTCGACGAGTATGTGTGCTCCATCGGATTTCAAGTATCGGACTTCGACCCATGTCTCTACATCAAGACTTCGGACGGCCATTGCGTGTTTATACTGGTCTATGTGGATGACGTGTTGGTGACAGGAAGCTCACCCAAGTTGATTGCACACACCAAGGAAGACCTGAAGACGCGGTTCGAAATGACGGACAGCGGCAAGTGTGCGTTTGTTCTTGGGATCGAGCTTTTGGACGGTGAAGATGGCAGTGTGACACTATGTCAGCGTCGGTATGTCGATGATATCCTCAAGCGATTTAGCATGAGTGATTGCAAGACTGTGTCAAGTCCAGTGGATATGAGCTCTCGACTTGTTTCAAGCGATGCAGCTACCAAGGTCGATGCTCCTTTTCGCGAAGCTGTTGGTGCGTTGATGCACCTGACCACTGCAACGCGTCCGGACATTGCGTTTGCTGTGGGCTATGTGTCGCGGTTCATGGAAAATCCCCAAGAAGAACACTGGGTTGCAGTTAAGCGTATCTTTCGCTACCTACAAGGCACCAAGACGCATGGAATTTGCTACAAGCCAAGTGCAAGGATCGACTTCCGTGGATATTCGGATGCGGATTGGGCTGGTGATCTTACCGACCGCAAGTCAACATCGGGGTACACGTTCATGCTACTCGGTGCGCCAGTCAGTTGGGGCAGCAAGAAGCAGCCAAGTGTTTCGTTGTCCACGAGTGAAGCCGAATACATCGCACTCAGCTTGGCGATTCAAGAGGGCAAGTGGATTCATCGTCTGCTTTGTGAGATCGTGATGGCTGCCAATGAAGAAGGACCGGAACTCATGATCCATGAAGACAATCAGTCGTGTATCAAGATGACGAAGAACCCAGTCAACCACGGCCGTGCCAAGCACATTGATATCAAGTACCATCACATCCGTGATGAGGTCAAGCGCGGTGAAGTGAAGCTCAAGTACTGTGAAACTGCGGTGATGTTAGCGGACATCATGACGAAGGGACTTCACGGGCCACGCCACAAGGAGATGACGACGACTCTCGGGATTCGTGAGCATTCGGATTGAGGGGGCGTGTTGACGGTCATCGGTTTTCTACCAGTATTGGTAACCGTGACCGATCCAATCCGAACCGCCTGTTCAGCTTAGTATTTACGACGTAGTTCTTACGGTAATTACCATAGTTGATTAGACGCGTAGGATGATGAGACGCTTCACATGATTTATATGTACACCACATATAAATCATGTAGTAAGTAGTAAGCCCCGATAATCAATCACTTTCGAATCTTCCAACTATTGGGCAAGTGTTTTCTGCTCTACTCTCTTCGGTCTCTCCGCTCCGTTTGCTCCGCTTTCCTCGCTCCGATCTACAATGCAACAGGTTATGAGCCCAAGCGCCATGTCGTCCACCAGCAACGCCTCCATTGACAAGTTCAACGGAGAGAATTACGCAACGTGGAGCCGGTACATGCGCGGTGTGTTTTTGACGAAGTCCGTCTGGCACGTTGTCAACCGTGAAGTGACTCCGACTTTCACCGACCCGCGAGCGTCCGATGACTACGTCAAGGCAAGCAACGTCGCGTTTGGTATGATGCTGCTGCACATGAACGCGGACTACCATCATGTGCTGGACAACTGCGAGGAAGCCTGGGTTGCGTGGACAAGTCTGAAGACGCTGTACGGTGGGTCGCAGAAGGCAGGACGCATCTACCTCAAGCGACAACTTTTCAGTATCAAGATGGCTGAAGGCGCGAACGTCATGCATCACAGCAACGAGGTCCTCAACATCTCCGCCAAGCTTAGCGGCATCGGTGCGAAGATGGAAGACGAAGACGTTGCAATTTGTCTGCTACTCAGTCTTCCGAAGAGCTACGAAAATGTGGTGCTCAACATGGAAATGAGCAGCACCGAGCTTCGCACTCAAGATGTGGTGAGAGTCCTGACGAATGAGCATGCCAAGCGTCAAGGAGAAAAAGGGACAACGACAGCGACTACGGTGAAGGCTGAAGATGCAAGCAAGGCATTCAGCGCCGAGCGTGAGCCCTACCAATGCACGTATTGTGGCAAGGTGGGACACACGGTGGATCGTTGCTGGACAAAGCAGAAGAACGAAGGTCGGGGAGCCCGACGCGGCGGCAATGGTCGTGGACGCGGGGCTAACAATGTCCAGTGGGGACATCATGATGAAGGCAATGGCTACGATCGAGTGGCGTTTGCAGTCTCGTTCGAATGTGGAGTTTCGACGAGCAAGGACGTGTCTGGAATGTGGGCCGTCGACAGTGGTGCAACGCACCACATTTGCCACGACAAGACCAAGTTCGCAAGTTTGGCAGAGCGCAATGAGGGCGAACTCTTGGTGGCTGATGGCAACAAGGTGGCCATCAAGGGTGTGGGAACCATCATGGAAAAGGTGGTTCTGCCCAACGGTGAAGAGCGTGAGATCGAAATCAAGAACGCGCTATATGTTCCAAGTATGAGCAAGAACCTGCTCTCGGTGCCACAGATTAACAGCCATGGCAAGTTTCAAGTCGTGTTTGACGGGTCCAAGATGTATGTGACTCTCAAGAACTCACAGCAAGTGGTGGCGACAGCGTGTTGAAAAGACAGCGGCTGTGAAGAAGACACCTCGTCAAGCTGCGTCAAGTGTTGAAGCAAGTGGAAGACCAAGCTTCGCTATACCGGTGGGTACCGGTATGTACCAGTAAGGGCGAAGTCAGGAAATGACGTCACTGGATGACGTCATTGCATGACGTCAGTGGGTGACGTCAGTGGGTGACGTCACTGGATGACGTCACTGCGAATAATAGGCTTAGAGGTAGTATTCAAAGTTGCGAACTAAGTACCTATTATAAATATATATTCACTTTGCGTTTTGCACTCGGACCAAGAAGTCTAAAGTTCATCAGGTTATGAGCCCAAGTTCGTCAGACTCTGAAACCGCCAACAATTCAAGCTTAGCTGCCATGGACGCCTCCTCCCTCCGCATCTCCAAGTTCGATGGAACTAACTTCCACGCCTGGAAGTTCAAGATGCAGATGGTGCTGGAGGAACGGGATCTATGGGAGGTCGTCAGCGGTGAGATCAAGGCGGAACAGTGCGAGACTCAGTTGGACCAAGCGACGTACAAGAGGAAGTCAAGAAAGGCGATGGCAGTGATCTGTCTAGCCATGGAAGATTCCCAGCTACCGTTGGTCCGGTCGGCAAGTGGTGCATGCGACGCATGGTCAAGGTTGGAAGACCACTTCGAGAAGAAGAGTCTTGCCAACAAGCTGTTCTTGCGCCGTCGCTTCTTCACGACAATGATGGAAGAAGGCGACGATGTGCTCGAACACATCAACAAGCTCAAGACGCTGGCGGAACAGCTAGAAGCGGTGGGGGCTCCAGTCTGCGAGGACGATCTGGTGATCACACTCCTCGGCAGCCTGAGTGACTCGTATCAATTCTTGATCACAGCTTTGGAGTCGCGCTCAGACACTCTTAGCTGGGAGCTCGTGACGTCTCGACTGCTTCATGAAGAAATGAAGCGGAAGGAGCAAGGAAGTAAAGGTGATGAAGCTTCGCAAGGTCAAGCGTTCATCACAAGGGACAATCAGCGCAAAGGGCGACCAGTGAAGAAGTCCTGGCCGTGCCACAATTGCGGAAAGATTGGTCACTGGATGGCGGAGTGCCCCTCGCGCATCCAAGAAAACACGGAGAGACACCGGCCACAGCGTGCTCAAGACAGCGGCGACCGCTATCGATCACAACGTGCAAACGTCGCTCAAGAAGAAGACTCGGGCGACTACCTCTTTTCGATCGGTGAAACGACATCTGCGAAATCGAGCGACATCTGGCTGGTCGACTCCGGGGCGACGCAGCACATGACGTGCTCCGAGAAGTTCATGCGGAACTACAAGGGGTTTGACGCTGTGGATGTCCATCTCGCGGATGATGGAATCGTCCAAGAAATCGGCAGTGGGGACATTGTCATGTCGATGAAGACACCCCAAGGGATGAAGAAAGGTGTGCTCACAAACGTGTGGCACATCCCAAAGTTATCCAGAAACCTGTTCTCGGTCGGCCGCTTCACCAAGGATGTCGGCCCAGTGACGTTCACGAAGGATGGGTGCTATGGAGAAGCGAAAGGGACCAAGTGGAAAATTGGTGCCCGTGAAGTTAAAGGACTGTTCAAGCTGCAAATGACTCCAGTGGCGCCGGAACAAGCAAATGCAGCCAAGTCGTCGGGATGTCAAGGGGGCACCAAGTCGTACCTCTGGCACCTTCGGCTTGGCCACATAGGTCACGATGGACTCAATTGCATCGTGACGAAGAACATGGAATTGGCATCGACATATCTTCGGTGAAGAAGTGGGACGTGTGTGAAGGTTGTGCTCTGGGAAAACAGACTCGAGTGCGCTTCCAATCAAACACTACAGCTCGCACCTCCAAACTCCTCGAAGTGATTCACAGCGACGTATGCGGACCGATGTCGATGGCAACTTTCAGTGGAAAACGGTACTTCGTGACATTCATTGATGACAAGTCAAGATACTGTGTCGTCTATCTGCTCAAGAGCAAATCTGAAGTTGCGGCGAAGTTCATGGAATACGCTGTGATGGCCGAAACGCAAACCGGAAAGCGCGTGAAGTACCTTCAAAGCGACAATGGGGGTGAATACAAGTCCGACAAGCTGGCACGATTCTGCGCGGAACGGGGAATACAACAAAGGTTCACACCCCCATATACTCCTCAGCTAAACGGAGTAGCTGAGAGAATGAATCGCACGCTGGTCGAGTGTGCGCGTTGCATGATGGAACACGCTGGACTGGGAAAGAGCTACTGGGGTGAAGCAGTGATGACGGCGATGTTTCTTCGAAACCGCTGTCCAACACGTGCCATTCACCAAGACAAGTCTCCATATCAAGTGTGGACGATGAAGAAACCGATTCTGGCCAACCTTAAAGTGTTTGGATGCCACGCGTATGTTCAAGTGCCTCAAGACAAACGCGCGAAGTTCGACTCCAAGTCATCACTCTGTCGTTTCCTGGGATACGCCGAACACCAGAAGTCATATCGATTTGAGGAAGTGTCAACAGGAGCGATCAAGATCAGTCGCGATGCCACATTCATGGAAGACAAGTTTGATGAAGGTCCGCGCAACTACAACGATGAGTCAAGTGTCGTTGAGTTTGATGATCATGATGAGGACGAAGAAAAAGAAGAAGGTAAAACTGACGACGACATGGACTCGAGCGACGATGACAACGAAGACACCAGGTCTTCGAAGAGCAACATCAAGAGACACACGCGCACTCAATCACTTGAGAAAGCTACCGTCATTCCAAGTCCCAAGCGAAGAACATACAGAGGTCCGTCGCTTGAGCATGTGTCAGCGGCTGCAATGGATTTTGAAGCAGCCTACATCGTTGATTCAGTGGGGAAACGCCGACTACATTCAAGTCGGCGATGGAATCAAGCGACTCCGGCAAGTGGAAAGAAGCGTGTGACTCGGAGTTCGATTCGCTTCAGAGAAACGACACGTGGGAAATCGTGCCTCTTCCGAAAGGTCGCAAGGCCATCGGGTGCCGATGGGTTTTTCGTGTAAAGGAGAATCAAGATGGCGAAGTTGAACGTTTCAAGGCAAGACTTGTGGCCAAAGGATTCTCACAGAAATTCGGAGTTGACTATGAAGAAACTTTCGCACCGGTGGCCAAGTTCACATCGATTCGTGTGGTGCTCAGTATGGCGGCTAAGTACGGCCTAATGCTACATCAGATGGACGTCAAGACAGCGTTTCTTAACGGCTCCCTCAACGAAGACATCTACATGGACCAGCCGGACGGATACCTGGATGCAACACAGCCGGACTATGTGTGCAAGCTAAAGAGATCACTCTACGGCTTGAAGCAATCGCCTCGCATGTGGAACCAAACAATCGATGGGTCTATTGAGGGTTACCGGTACAATCCGAACCTAGCGCGTAGTTCTTACGAGATAGTTTTTACATCGGTAATTACCTCAGAGATGATTAGACGCGTAGGATGATTGGACGCGTGTAAATCAGGTTGATTAGATGCACCATGTGATTGGATGCAGTCTAGGGTAGGCAGAAGTTAAGACCTATAAATCAATCACTTTCGAATCCTCCCTCAAGTGAGCAAGTGTTCTCTGCTTCGTTCTCTCCGGTCTCTCCGCTTCGTTTTCTCTTCGCCTCGCGCTCAAGTTACAACAGGTTATGAGCCCAAGCGCCATGTCGTCCAACAACACCTCGGCCAGTGTCTCCATCGATAAGTTCGATGGGGACAACTACTCAACCTGGTGTCGCTACATGCGCGGCGTGTTTCTGACGAAGTCAGTCTGGTACGTCGTGAACCGCGAAACGTCTCCAACCTTCACCGACACGCGAGCTTCCGACGAGTACGTCAAGGCGAGCAACATCGCGTTCGGGTTGATGTTGCTCCACATGGACGCCGACTACCACCATGTGGTCGACAACTGTGAAGAAGCATGGACAGCGTGGTTGCGGTTGAAGATGCTCTATGGTGGGTCGCAGAAGGCGGGACGCATCTACCTCAAGCGCCAGCTGTTCAGCATCAAGATGGCGGAAGGTGCCAACGTCTTGCACCATTGCAACGAAGTCTTGAACATCGGCGCCAAGCTCAGCAGCATCGGTGCCAAGATGGAAGACGAAGACATTGCGATTCTGCTTGCTGCTCAGTCTCCCGAAGAGTTTCGAGAACGTGGTTCTGAACTTGGAGATGAGCAATGCAGAGCTGCGCACGCAAGATGTGGTCAAGGTGCTGACTAACGAGCACATCAAGCGACAAGGCGAGAAGATGACAACGGCAACGACAACGGTGAAGACTGAAGATGCGACAAAGGCATTCAGTACCGAGCGCAAGCCCTACCAATGCACATACTGCGGCAAGGTGGGGCACACGGCAGAGCGTTGCTGGACGAAGCAAAAGGATGAAAGTCGAGGAGCCCAACGCGGCGGCAATGGTCGTGGACGCGGGGGCAAACAATGTCCAGTGGCGACATTATGATGAAGGCAACAGCTACGATCGAGTGGCGTTTGCAGTTTCGTTCGAATGCGGAGTTTCGACGAACAAGAATGGACCAGGAATGTGGGCCGTTGACAGCGGGGCAACACATCACATCTGCCACGACAAGTTCAAGTTTGCAAGCTTGGTCGAAGGCAATGATGGCGAGATCCTGGTGGCTGATGGCAACAAGGCGGCCATCAAAGGTGTGGGGACCATCGTGGAAAAGGTGATTCTGCCAAACGGGGAAGAGCGCGAGATCGAGATCAAGAACGCGCTCTATGTGCCCAGCATGAGCAAAAATCTGCTCTCGGTGCCGCAGATTAACAAGCACGGCAACTTCCAAGTGGTGTTTGACGGGGATACGATGTACGTCGCTCGCAAGGATTCCAACCAAGTGGTGGCAGCTGCGGATCTTGTAGACGGACTCTACTGGCTTCGCACGACGCAGCGATCGGCCAATGCGACATCACTCAGCAACGCTGTTGATCTACATGCGCGAATGGGCCATGCTCCAGTCGACGTGCTTCGCAGGATGGTGACAAGCCACATGATCAAGGACGCTCACATCCCTTCCAAGCCGAATGGATCAAGTGTGTGTCGAGGATGCCAAGAAGGGAAGATGGTCCAAAAACCATTCCCGAGCAACCGTGACAAGCGCACCTACAACACCTTCGAGATGCTCCACTTCGACATCTGCGGACCCATGGAAGAAAAATCTCTGGGTGGCAGCAAGTATCTGCTGCTGATCGTGGATGAAGCCAGCGGATGCATGAAGGGTTTTTGTCTGCATTCCAAGTCAGAGAGCGAAGAGTGCATCAAGAAGTACATCACGATGATACAGACGCAGTTCAACAAGAAGGTCAAATTTGTGCGACACGATGGAGCCCGCGAGTTTGCGACGAACTCGCTTCAAGATTTCTACGAAGTCGAAGGCATCGAGCAACAAACCACGGTGCCATACGCACATCAAGCCAATGGAACTGCTGAACGCGCGATTCGAACTATCGTCACCATCGGTCGTAGCATGCTCCATCATGCCAAGTTGGACAAGTGCTTCTGGGCTGAAGCGGCAATGACGGCCGTCTATGTGAAGAACCGTTTGCCGTCACCCAAGATTCCACACAAGACACCGTTCGAGATTGTCTACAATTCTAAGCCAAGCGTCAAGCACATGCGCGTTTTTGGGTGCCAAGCATACATCTTGACCCCGAAGGAGAAACGACTCAAGTGGGATCCCAAGGCCCGGGCTGGATTGTTTTTGGGCTACGAAGAAGTGTCCAAGGCGTATCGAGTTTACGACATCGAAGCGGGGCAGGTGATGATAAGTCGCGATGTCAACTTCGATGAGTCGGCCTTTGGAATGTCGATGCTGATTTCCGATGACGATGTTGATGGCCTGGACTTCGAATCGATCGATCTTGATGATGAAGAACCGCGTCCGAGACACTTCAAACAAACAGGAAAGCGCAAGGCCCAACCCAGTCACGACAATGACGACGCAAGCATGCCCCGAGCAGTGCGCCAACGACCCGGATTGGAAGAGTCAAGTGCGCCGGATGACCTCTCTTCACGTCGAGCCAACGAAGATGAAGAAAGGAAGTCGGAGGAACAACATGACACACGGACTTCCTCCGCGTTTTGGCATGCGAGTGCAAACGCCGTCGAAGCAGCGGTCGATTTTTCGGAGCCATCGACATTTGAAGAAGCAGTGTCTGGCCCGGACCAAGTACACTGGCGCAAGGCAATTGATGCGGAGCTCGATTCGATGAAGCTTCGCGGTGTCTTTCGTGCGGCCAAGTTACCCAACGGACAAAGCGCCATTGGCACAAAGTGGGTCTTCAAGATCAAGCGCAAGGCGGATGGGTCGATCGAGAAATACAAGGCACGACTTGTGGCCAAGGGTTTTCGCCAAAAGTATGGCATCGACTACACGGAGACGTTCTCGCCCGTGGTCAAGTATGTGACGCTGCGAATGGTCATCGCCATTACCAGGCACTTTGGATGGCCCCTCGACCAGCTCGATGTGGTGACTGCGTTCCTGTATGGAGTGATGAAGGAGAAGGTGTTCTGCGCTGTTCCGGAAGGCGTCAAGATGGAAGGTGATTTCGACTGTCTCGAGCTGATCAAGGCGATCTACGGTCTCAAGCAAGCCTCGCGTGTTTGGAACGAGACCTTCGACGAGTTCATACGCTCGATTGGTTTTCAAGCGTCGGGATTCGATCCATGTCTTTACATCATGACTTCGGAAGGCCATTGTGTTTTTGTGCTGGTCTACGTGGACGATGTCTTGGTGACTGGAAGCTCGCTCGAGATGATTGCGCGCACCAAGAACGACCTCAAGACACGCTTCGAGATGACGGACAGCGGCAAGTGTGCCTTTGTTCTTGGGATCGAGTTATTGGACGGTGAAGATGGCAGCGTGACTATGTGTCAGCGCCGTTATGTCGACGATGTCCTCAAGCGCTTTGGAATGGATGAGTGCAAGGCTGTGGCAAGTCCGGTGGACGTCAGCTCTCGACTGGTTCCAAGCAACTCTGCAAGCAAGGTGGATGTCCCATTCCGTGAAGCAGTGGGTGCTTTGATGCATCTGACGACTGCAACGCGACCGGACATCGCCTTTGCTGTAAGCTTTGTGTCACGGTTCATGGAGAAACCCCAAGAAGAACACTGGGTTGCAGTCAAGCGCATCTTCCGCTACCTACAAGGCACCAAGATGCATGGAATCTGCTACAAGCCAAGTGCGAAGATCGACTTTCGTGGCTATTCAGATGCAGACTGGGCCGGTGACCTTGCTGATCGCAAATCGACGTCCGGCTACGTCTTCATGCTATTGGGTGCTCCGGTGAGTTGGGGCAGCAAGAAACAGCCAAGTGTGTCACTGTCTACAAGCGAAGCGGAGTACATCGCGCTCAGCCTGGCGATCCAAGAAGGCAAGTGGATCAATCGCTTGTTGTGCGAGATCATGGCGGCTGCAAACGAAGAAGGACCCGAGCTCGTCATCCGTGAAGACAACCAGTCGTGCATCAAGATGACGAAGAATCCGGTCAACCACGGCCGCGCTAAACACATCGACATCAAGTACCATCACATCCGTGATGGAGTCAAGCGCGGCGAAGTGAAGCTTGAATACTGCGAGACGACGTTGATGTTGGCGGACATCATGACGAAGGGACTTCACGGACCGCGTCACAAGGACTTGACGGCGGCGCTTGGCATCCGTGCGTGTTCGGATTGAGGGGGCGTATTGAGGGTTACCGGTACAATCCGAACCTAGCGCGTAGTTCTTACGAGATAGTTTTTACATCGGTAATTACCTCAGAGATGATTAGACGCGTAGGATGATTGGACGCGTGTAAATCAGGTTGATTAGATGCACCATGTGATTGGATGCAGTCTAGGGTAGGCAGAAGTCAAGACCTATAAATCAATCACTTTCGAATCCTCCCTCAAGTGAGCAAGTGTTCTCTGCTTCGTTCTCTCCGGTCTCTCCGCTTCGTTTTCTCTTCGCCTCGCGCTCAAGTTACAACAGGGTTCATGATCAAGATGGGATTCAAGAAGTGCGAATCGGACCACTGCATCTACATCAAGCGAGACGACCAAGACATGATTCTCGTGGTGCTCTACGTCGATGATCTCATCCTGGCCAGCAGCAACAACGAACTCCTCAAGTCAACCAAGATGGCGCTGAGCAAACGCTTTGAAATGACGGATCTCGGTGAGCTCGATTACTTTCTCGGCATGGAGATCAAGAACGACCGTAAGACGGGAATGGTGACTGTACAACAAACCAAGTTCCTCAAGTCCGTGTTAACCAAGTTCGGAATGGATAACAGCAAGCCAGTGAAGACGCCTCAAGATCCCGGCCTGAAGCTAACCAAGAACATGTGTGAACAAGAATGCAAGCACGAAGACACCATGTGCAACGTGCCATATCGAAGTGCTGTCGGAGGCATCATGTATCTCATGGTCGCCACACGTCCGGATCTAGCTGCTGCAGTGGGATCATTATCCCAGTTCTCGTCCGACCCATGCCCGACTCACTGGCAAGCTTTGAAGCGTGTGCTGAGATACCTGCAAGCAACGCCCAATCATGGTCTTGAGTTTACACGTGAAGAAGGAAGCCGTATCTGCGGGTACACCGACGCAGACTGGGCCGGCGACATTGAGTCAAGACGAAGTACAAGCGGCTATGTGTTCATGATGAGCGGAGGATGCATCAGCTGGAAAAGCCAGAAACAACGGACGGTCGCGCTATCTTCAACAGAAGCAGAATACATGGCGCTTTCCGAAGCAACCAAAGAAGCAGTATGGCTCAAAGTGCTTTTGGGGGAACTTGGTGAGATGACAAGCGACGAAGCGATCAAGATGTATGAAGACAACCAAGGATCAATCGCTCTCGCCAAGAACCCGGAGTTCCATAAGAGAACAAAACACATCGACATACGCTACCATTTTGTGCGTGAGAAGGTGGAATCAGGTGAAGTCGTTTTGGAGTATTGCCCGACTCAAGATATGCTGGCAGACATGATGACCAAGCCGATCGCCGCTGTACAATTTGAAAACATTCGCGATCGACTTGGGATCCAAGGTGCCGCAGCTAACGAGTCGAGAGGGAGTGTTGAAAAGACAGCGGCTGTGAAGAAGACACCTCGTCAAGCTGCGTCAAGTGTTGAAGCAAGTGGAAGACCAAGCTTCGCTATACCGGTGGGTACCGGTATGTACCAGTAAGGGCGAAGTCAGGAAATGACGTCACTGGATGACGTCATTGCATGACGTCAGTGGGTGACGTCAGTGGGTGACGTCACTGGATGACGTCACTGCGAATAATAGGCTTAGAGGTAGTATTCAAAGTTGCGAACTAAGTACCTATTATAAATATATATTCACTTTGCGTTTTGCACTCGGACCAAGAAGTCTAAAGTTCATCACAGCGGATCTCGTGGATGGACTCTACTGGCTTCGGACGACTCAACGATCAGCGAATGTGACAACAAGTGGAACCAGTTGTGCCGACCTACATGCGAGAATGGGTCATGCTCCAGTCGATGTACTTCGCAAGATGATCGCGACCAACATGATCAAGGATGTGCGAGTCCCTCTCAAGTCGGGTGGAGCAACTACATGTCGAGGATGTCAACAAGGGAAAATGGTCCAAAAACCATTTCCAAGCAACCGAGACAAGCGCAGCTACGATACGTTTGAGCTACTTCATCTGGACATCTGCGGGCCCATGGAAAAGGATTCGCTCGGTGGCAGCAAATATTTGCTGCTGATCATCGACGAAGCCAGTGGATGCATGAAGGGCTTTTGTCTACGAGTGAAGTCCGAGAGTGAAGACTACATCCGGAAATATATCACCATGGTACAGACGCAATTCTGTAAGAAGGTCAAGTTCGTGCGACACGACGGAGCTCGCGAGTTTGCAACCAACTCGCTTCAACTGTTCTACGAAGACGAAGGCATTGAACAGCAGACAACGGTGCCGTATGCACATCAAACAAACGGAACAGCAGAGCGTGCCATTAGGACTATTGTCACGATCGGCCGCAGCATGCTTCATCATGCCAAACTGGACAAGTGTTTCTGGGCCGAAGCAGCGATGACGGCCATCTACGTCAAGAATCGACTGCCGTCACCTAAAGTCGTGCACAAGACCCCGTTTGAGATCGTCTACAACTTGAAACCAAGCGTCAAGCACATGCGAACATTCGGGTGTCAGACATACATACTGACGCCTAAAGAGAATCGACTCAAGTGGGATCAAAGGCTCGCGCTGGCATATTCGTGGGCTACGAAGAAGTTTCGAAGGCATATCGTGTTTATGACATCGAGGCGGGGCAGGTGGTTATCAGCCGCGATGTCAACTTCGACGAGTCCACCTTTGGACTTCAACTGCCGATCACTGATGAAGATGTCGATGACCTGGACTTCGAATTGCTGGATCTTGATGACGAAGAGCTGCGTCAAATGGAGTACAAGCAAACAGGCAAGCGCAAGAACCGACTCAATGATGAAGATACAGCAGCTCCACGACCGCGTGCAGTGCGTCAACGACCAGGACTAGAAGAGTCAAGCGCGCCGGAAAACAACTCGTCACGACAAGAAGAAGACGAAGAAACGAAGGATTCTGGTGATTCAACACCGCCTGTGTTTTGGCGTGCGAGTGCAAATGCCGTTGAAGCAGCAGTGGACTTATCAGAACCCTCAACATTTGAAGCAGCAGTAAGCGGCCCTGACCAAGTGCACTGGAGAAAAGAAATTCATGCAGAGCTCGAGTCAATGCGACTTCGCGGTGTGTTTCGTGCAGCCAAGCTGCCCAACGGACAACGCGCCATTGGCACAAAATGGGTGTTCAAGATCAAGCGTAAAGCGGATGGATCTATCGAGAAGTACAAGGCACGACTTGTGGCCAAGGGTTTCCGCCAAAAGTATGGCATCGACTACACGGAGACGTTTTCGCCTGTGGTCAAGTATGTGACGCTGCGAATGGTGATCGCAATTTCCAAGCATTTTGGATGGCCCATCGACCAGCTTGATGTGGTGACAGCTTTCCTGTATGGCGTCATGAAGGAACAAGTGTTCTGCGTGATTCCTGAAGGCGTCGAACTTGACAGTACGTTTGACTGTCTCGAATTGGTGAAGGCAATTTACGGCCTGAAGCAAGCGTCGCGAGTGTGGAACGAGACTTTTGACGAGTGTGTGTTCCATTGGATTTCAAGTGTCAGGCTTCGACCCATGTCTCTACATCAAGATTTCGGACGGCCATTGCGTGTTTATACTGGTCTACGTGGACGACGCCTTGGTGACTGGAAGCTCACTCGAGCTGATTGCACAAACCAAGAACGACCTGAAGACGCGGTTCGAAATGACGGACAGCGGCAAGTGTGCATTTGTTCTTGGAATTGAGCTTTTGGACGGTGAAGATGGCAGTGTGACACTATGTCAGCGTCGGTATGTCGATGATATCCTCAAGCGATTTAGCATGAGTGATTGCAAGGCTGTGTCAAGTCCAGTGGACATGAGCTCTCGACTCGTTTCAAGCGATGCAGCTACCAAGGTCGATGCTCCTTTTCGCGAAGCTGTTGGTGCGTTGATGCACCTGACCACTGCAACGCGTCCGGACATTGCGTTTGCTGTGGGCTATGTGTCGCGGTTCATGGAAAATCCCCAAGAAGAACACTGGGTTGCAGTTAAGCGTATCTTTCGCTACCTACAAGGCACCAAGACGCATGGAATTTGCTACGAGCCAAGTGCAAGGATCGACTTCCGTGGATATTCGGATGCGGATTGGGCTGGTGATCTTACCGACCGCAAGTCAACATCGGGGTACACGTTCATGCTACTCGGTGCGCCAGTCAGTTGGGGCAGCAAGAAGCAGCCAAGTGTTTCGTTGTCCACGAGTGAAGCCGAATACATCGCACTCAGCTTGGCGATTCAAGAGGGCAAGTGGATTCATCGTCTGCTTTGTGAGATCGTGATGGCTGCCAATGAAGAAGGACCGGAACTCATGATCCATGAAGACAATCAGTCGTGTATCAAGATGACGAAGAACCCAGTCAACCACGGCCGTGCCAAGCACATTGATATCAAGTACCATCACATCCGTGATGAGGTCAAGCGCGGTGAAGTGAAGCTCAAGTACTGTGAAACTGCGGTGATGTTAGCGGACATCATGACGAAGGGACTTCACGGGCCACGCCACAAGGAGATGACGACGACTCTCGGGATTTGTGCGTGTTCGCATTGAGGGGGTGTGTTGACGGTCATCGGTTTTCTACCAGTATTGGTAACCGTGACCGATCCAATCCGAACCGCCTGTTCAGCTTAGTATTTACGACGTAGTTCTTACGGTAATTACCATAGTTGATTAGACGCGTAGGATGATGAGACGCTTCACATGATTTATATGTACACCACATATAAATCATGTAGTAAGTAGTAAGCCCCGATAATCAATCACTTTCGAATCTTCCAACTATTGGGCAAGTGTTTTCTGCTCTACTCTCTTCGGTCTCTCCGCTCCGTTTGCTCCGCTTTCCTCGCTCCGATCTACAATGCAACATGTTCAGCCTAGTATTTACGACGTAGTTCTTACGGTAATTACCATAGTTGATTAGACGCGTAGGATGATGAGACGCTTCACATGATTTATATGTACACCACATATAAATCATGTAGTAAGTAGTAAGTCCCGATAATCAATCACTTTCGAATCTTCCAACTATTGGGCAAGTGTTTTCTGCTCTACTCTCTTCGGTCTCTCCGCTCCGCTTTCCTCGCTCCGATCTACAATGCAACACATACTTGACCACAGGCGAAAACGTCTCCGTGTAGTCGATGCCATACTTTTGGCGAAAACCCTTGGCCACAAGTCGTGCCTTGTATTTCTCGATCGACCCATCCGCCTTGCGCTTGATCTTGAAGACCCACTTTGTGCCAATGGCGCTTTGTCCGTTGGGTAACTTGGCCGCACGAAAGACACCGCGAAGCTTCATCGAATCGAGCTCCGCATCAATTGCCTTGCGCCAGTGTACTTGGTCCGGGCCAGACACTGCTTCTTCAAATGTCGACGGCTCCGAAAAATCGACCGCTGCTTCGACGGCGTTTGCACTCGCATGCCAAAACGCGGAGGAAGTCCGTGTGTCATGTTGTTCCTCCGACTTCCTTTCTTCATCTTCGTTGGCTCGACGTGAAGAGAGGTCATCCGGCGCACTTGACTCTTCCAATCCGGGTCGTTGGCGCACTGCTCGGGGCATGCTTGCGTCGTCATTGTCGTGACTGGGTCGGGCCTTGCGCTTTCCTGTTTGTTTGAAGTGTCTCGGACGCGGTTCTTCATCATCAAGATCGATCGATTCGAAGTCCAGGCCATCAACATCGTCATCGGAAATCAGCATCGACATTCCAAAGGCCGACTCATCGAAGTTGACATCGCGACTTATCATCACCTGCCCCGCTTCGATGTCGTAAACTCGATACGCCTTGGACACTTCTTCGTAGCCCAAAAACAATCCAGCCCGGGCCTTGGGATCCCACTTGAGTCGTTTCTCCTTCGGGGTCAAGATGTATGCTTGGCACCCAAAAACGCGCATGTGCTTGACACTTGGCTTAGAATTGTAGACAATCTCGAACGGTGTCTTGTGTGGAATCTTGGGTGACGGCAAACGGTTCTTCACATAGACGGCCGTCATTGCCGCTTCAGCCCAGAAGCACTTGTCCAACTTGGCATGATGGAGCATGCTACGACCGATGGTGACGATAGTTCGAATCGCGCGTTCAGCAGTTCCATTGGCTTGATGTGCGTATGGCACCGTGGTTTGTTGCTCGATGCCTTCGACTTCGTAGAAATCTTGGAGCGAGTTCGTCGCAAACTCGCGGGCTCCATCGTGTCGCACAAATTTGACTTTCTTGTTGAACTGCGTCTGTATCATCGTGATGTACTTCTTGATGCACTCTTCGCTCTCTGACTTGGAATGCAGACAAAAACCCTTCATGCATCCGCTGGCTTCATCCACGATCAGCAGCAGATACTTGCTGCCACCCAGATATTTTTCTTCCATGGGTCCGCAGATGTCGAAGTGGAGCATCTCGAAGGTGTTGTAGGTGCGCTTGTCACGGTTGCTCGGGAATGGTTTTTGGACCATCTTCCCTTCTTGGCATCCTCGACACACACTTGATCCATTCGGCTTGGAAGGGATGTGAGCGTCCTTGATCATGTGGCTTGTCACCATCCTGCGAAGCACGTCGACTGGAGCATGGCCCATTCGCACATGTAGATCAACAGCGTTGCTGAGTGATGTCGCATTGGCCGATCGCTGCGTCGTGCGAAGCCAGTAGAGTCCGTCTACAAGATCCGCAGCTGCCACCACTTGGTTGGAATCCTTGCGAGCGACGTACATCGTATCCCCGTCAAACACCACTTGGAAGTTGCCGTGCTTGTTAATCTGCGGCACCGAGAGCAGATTTTTGCTCATGCTGGGCACATAGAGCGCGTTCTTGATCTCGATCTCGCGCTCTTCCCCGTTTGGCAGAATCACCTTTTCCACGATGGTCCCCACACCTTTGATGGCCGCCTTGTTGCCATCAGCCACCAGGATCTCGCCATCATGGCCTTCGACCAAGCTTGCAAACTTGAACTTGTCGTGGCAGATGTGATGTGTTGCCCCGCTGTCAACGGCCCACATTCCTGGTCCATTCTTGTTCGTCGAAACTCCGCATTCGAACGAAACTGCAAACGCCACTCGATCGTAGCTGTTGCCTTCATCATAATGTCGCCACTGGACATTGTTTGCCCCGCGTCCACGACCATTGCCGCCGCGTTGGGCTCCTCGACTTTCATCCTTTTGCTTCGTCCAGCAACGCTCTGCCGTGTGCCCCACCTTGCCGCAGTATGTGCATTGGTAGGGCTTGCGCTCGGTACTGAATGCCTTTGTCGCATCTTCAGTCTTCACCGTTGTCGTTGCCGTTGTCATCTTCTCGCCTTGTCGCTTGATGTGCTCGTTAGTCAGCACCTTGACCACATCTTGCGTGCGCAGCTCTGCATTGCTCATCTCCAAGTTCAGAACCACGTTCTCGAAACTCTTCGGGAGACTGAGCAGCAAGCAGATCGCAATGTCTTCGTCTTCCATCTTGGCACCGATGCTGCTGAGCTTGGCGCCGATGTTCAAGACTTCGTTGCAATGGTGCAAGACGTTGGCACCTTCCGCCATCTTGATGCTGAACAGCTGGCGCTTGAGGTAGATGCGTCCCGCCTTCTGCGACCCACCATAGAGCATCTTCAACCGCGACCACGCTGTCCATGCTTCTTCACAGTTGTCGACCACATGGTGGTAGTCGGCGTCCATGTGGAGCAACATCAACCCGAACGCGATGTTGCTCGCCTTGACGTACTCGTCGGAAGCTCGCGTGTCGGTGAAGGTTGGAGACGTTTCGCGGTTCACGACGTACCAGACTGACTTCGTCAGAAACACGCCGCGCATGTAGCGACACCAGGTTGAGTAGTTGTCCCCATCGAACTTATCGATGGAGACACTGGCCGAGGTGTTGTTGGACGACATGGCGCTTGGGCTCATAACCTGTTGTAACTTGAGCGCGAGGCGAAGAGAAAACGAAGCGGAGAGACCGGAGAGAACGAAGCAGAGAACACTTGCTCACTTGAGGGGAGGATTCGAAAGTGATTGATTTATAGGTCTTAACTTCTGCCTACCCTAGACTGCATCCAATCACATGGTGCATCTAATCAACCTGATTTACACGCGTCCAATCATCCTACGCGTCTAATCATCTCTGAGGTAATTACCGATGTAAAAACTATCTCGTAAGAACTACGCGCTAGGTTCGGATTGTACCGGTAACCCTCAATACATACATCTTGGACCCGTCAAACACGACTTGAAACTTGCCATGGCTGTTAATCTGTGGTACCGAGAGCAGGTTCTTGCTCATACTTGGAACATATAGCGCGTTCTTGATTTCGATCTCACGCTCTTCACCGTTGGGCAGAACCACCTTTTCCATTATGGTTCCCACACCCTTGATGGCCACCTTGTTGCCATCAGCCACCAAGAGTTCGCCCTCATTGCGCTCTGCCAAACTTGCGAACTTGGTCTTGTCGTGGCAAATGTGGTGCGTTGCACCACTGTCGACGGCCCACATTCCAGACACGTCCTTGCTCGTCGAAACTCCACATTCGAACGAGACTGCAAACGCCACTCGATCGTAGCCATTGCCTTCATCATGATGTCCCCACTGGACATTGTTAGCCCCGCGTCCACGACCATTGCCGCCGCGTCGGGCTCCCCGACCTTCGTTCTTCTGCTTTGTCCAGCAACGATCCACCGTGTGTCCCACCTTGCCACAATACGTGCATTGGTAGGGCTCACGCTCGGCGCTGAATGCCTTGCTTGCATCTTCAGCCTTCACCGTAGTCGCTGTCGTTGTCCCTTTTTCTCCTTGACGCTTGGCATGCTCATTCGTCAGGACTCTCACCACATCTTGAGTGCGAAGCTCGGTGCTGCTCATTTCCATGTTGAGTACCACATTTTCGTAGCTCTTCGGAAGACTGAGTAGCAGACAAATTGCAACGTCTTCATCTTCCATCTTCGCACCGATGCCGCTAAGCTTGGCGGAGATGTTGAGGACCTCGTTGCAGTGATGCATGACGTTCGCGCCTTCAGCCATCTTGATGCTGAAAAGTTGTCGCTTGAGGTAGATGCGTCCTGCCTTCTGCGACCCACCGTACAGCGTCTTCAGACTGGTCCACGCAACCCAGGCTTCCTCGCAGTTGTCCAGCACATGATGGTAGTCCGCGTTCATGTGCAGCAGCATCATACCAAACGCGACGTTGCTTGCCTTGACGTAGTCATCGGACGCTCGCGGGTCGGTGAAAGTCGGAGTCACTTCACGGTTGACGACGTGCCAGACGGACTTCGTCAAAAACACACCGCGCATGTACCGGCTCCACGTTGCGTAATTCTCTCCGTTGAACTTGTCAATGGAGGCGTTGCTGGTGGACGACATGGCGCTTGGGCTCATAACCTGTTGCATTGTAGATCGGAGCGAGGAAAGCGGAGCGAACGGAGCGGAGAGACCGAAGAGAGTAGAGCAGAAAACACTTGCCCAATAGTTGGAAGATTCGAAAGTGATTGATTATCGGGACTTACTACTTACTACATGATTTATATGTGGTGTACATATAAATCATGTGAAGCGTCTCATCATCCTACGCGTCTAATCAACTATGGTAATTACCGTAAGAACTACGTCGTAAATACTAGGCTGAACAGGCGGTTCGGATTGGATCGGTCACGGTTACCAACACTGGTAGAAAACCGATGACCGTCAACAGCAATGAGGGCGAACGCTTGGTGGCTGATGGCAACAAGGTGGCCATCAAGGGTGTGGGAACCATAATGGAAAAGGTGGTTCTGCCCAACGGTGAAGAGCGTGAGATCGAAATCAAGAACGCGCTATATGTTCCAAGTATGAGCAAGAACCTGCTCTCGGTACCACAGATTAACAGCCATGGCAAGTTTCAAGTCGTGTTTGACGGGTCCAAGATGTATGTGACTCTCAAGAACTCACAGCAAGTGGTGGCGACTGCGGATCTCGTGGATGGACTCTACTGGCTTCGGACGACTCAACGATCAGCGAATGTGACAACAAGTGGAACCAGTTGTGCCGATCTACATGCGAGAATGGGTCATGCTCCAGTCGATGTACTTCGCAAGATGATCGCGACCAACATGATCAAGGATGTGCGAGTCCCTCTCAAGTCGGGTGGAGCAACTACATGTCGAGGATGTCAACAAGGGAAAATGGTCCAAAAACCATTTCCAAGCAACCGAGACAAGCGCAGCTACGATACGTTTGAGCTGCTTCATCTGGACATCTGCGGGCCCATGGAAAAGGATTCGCTCGGTGGCAGCAAATATTTGCTGCTGATCATCGACGAAGCCAGTGGATGCATGAAGGGATTTTGTCTACGAGTGAAGTCCGAGAGTGAAGACTACATCCGGAAATATATCACCATGGTACAGACGCAATTCTGTAAGAAGGTCAAGTTCGTGCGACACGACGGAGCTCGCGAGTTTGCAACCAACTCGCTTCAGCTGTTCTACGAAGACGAAGGCATTGAACAGCAGACAACGGTGCCGTATGCACATCAAACAAACGGAACAGCAGAGCGTGCCATTAGGACTATTGTCACGATCGGCCGCAGCATGCTTCATCATGCCAAACTGGACAAGTGTTTCTGGGCCGAAGCAGCGATGACGGCCATCTACGTCAAGAATCGACTGCCGTCACCTAAAGTCGTGCACAAGACCCCGTTTGAGATCGTCTACAACTTGAAACCAAGCGTCAAGCACATGCGAACATTCGGATGTCAGACGTACATACTGACGCCTAAAGAGAATCGACTCAAGTGGGATCCAAAGGCTCGCGCTGGCATATTCGTGGGCTACGAAGAAGTTTCGAAGGCATATCGTGTTTATGACATCGAGGCGGGGCAGGTGGTTATCAGCCGCGATGTCAACTTCGACGAGTCCACCTTTGGACTTCAACTGCCGATCACTGATGAAGATGTCGATGACCTGGACTTCGAATTGCTGGATCTTGATGACGAAGAGCTGCGTCAAATGGAGTACAAGCAAACAGGCAAGCGCAAGAACCGACTCAATGATGAAGATACAGCAGCTCCACGACCGCGTGCAGTGCGTCAACGACCAGGACTAGAAGAGTCAAGCGCGCCGGAAAACAACTCGTCACGCCAAGAAGAAGACGAAGAAACGAAGGATTCTGGTGATTCAACACCGCCTGTGTTTTGGCGTGCGAGTGCAAATGCCGTTGAAGCAGCAGTGGACTTATCAGAGCCCTCAACATTTGAAGCAGCAGTAAGCGGCCCTGACCAAGTGCACTGGAGAAAAGCAATTCATGCAGAGCTCGAGTCAATGCGACTTCGCGGTGTGTTTCGTGCAGCCAAGCTGCCCAACGGACAACGCGCCATTGGCACAAAATGGGTGTTCAAGATCAAGCGTAAAGCGGACGGATCTATCGAGAAGTACAAGGCACGTCTCGTGGCAAAGGGCTTTCGCCAAAAGTATGGAATCGACTACACGGAGACGTTTTCGCCCGTGGTCAAGTATGTGACGCTGAGAATGGTGATCGCAATTTCCAAGCATTTTGGATGGCCCATCGACCAGCTTGATGTGGTGACAGCTTTCCTGTATGGCGTCATGAAGGAACAAGTGTTCTGCGTGATTCCTGAAGGCGTCGAACTTGACAGTACGTTCGACTGCCTGGAATTGGTGAAGGCAATTTACGGCCTGAAGCAAGCTTTGCGAGTATGGAACGAGACTTTTGACGAGTGTGTGTTCCATTGGATTTCAAGTGTCAGGCTTCGACCCATGTCTCTACATCAAGACATCGGACGGCCATTGCGTGTTTATACTGGTCTACGTGGACGACGTCTTGGTGACTGGAAGCTCGCTCGAGCTGATTGCACACACCAAGAAAGACCTGAAGACACGCTTCGAGATGACTGATAGCGGCAAGTGTGCATTTGTTCTTGAAATCGAGCTTTTGGACGGTGAAGATGGCAGTGTGACACTATGTCAGCGTCGGTATGTCGATGATATCCTCAAGCGCTTTGGCATGGATGATTGCAAGGCTGTGTCAAGTCCAGTGGACATGAGCTCTCGACTTATTTCAAGCAATGCAGCTACCAAGGTCGATGCTCCTTTTCGCGAAGCTGTTGGTGCGTTGATGCACCTGACCACTGCAACGCGTCCGGACATTGCGTTTGCTGTGGGCTATGTGTCGCGGTTCATGGAAAATCCCCAAGAAGAACACTGGGTTGCAGTTAAGCGTATCTTTCGCTACCTACAAGGCACCAAGACGCATGGAATTTGCTACAAGCCAAGTGCAAGGATCGACTTCCGTGGATATTCGGATGCGGATTGGGCTGGTGATCTTACCGACCGCAAGTCAACATCGGGGTACACGTTCATGCTACTCGGTGCGCCAGTGAGTTGGGGCAGCAAGAAGCAGCCAAGTGTTTCGTTGTCCACGACTGAAGCTGAATACATCGCACTCAGCTTGGCGATTCAAGAGGGCAAGTGGATTCATCGTCTGCTCTGTGAGATCATGATGGCTGCCAATGAAGAAGGACCGGAGCTCATGATCCATGAAGACAATCAGTCGTGTATCAAGATGACAAAGAACCCGGTCAACCACGGCCGTGCCAAGCACATTGACATAAAGTATCATCACATCCGTGATGAGGTCAAGCGCGGTGAAGTGAAGCTCAAGTACTGTGAAACTGCGGTGATTTTAGCGGACATCATGACGAAGGGACTTCACGGGCCACGCCACAAGGAGACGACGGCGGCTCTCGGGATTTGTGCGTGTTCGCATTGAGGGGGTGTGTTGACGGTCATCGGTTTCCTACCGGTATTGGTAACTGTGACCGGTCCAATCCCAACCACCTGTTCAGCTTAGTATTTACGACGTAGTTCTTACGGTAATTACCATAGTTGATTAGACGCGTAGGATGATGAGACGCTTCACATGATTTATATGTACACCACATATAAATCATGTAGTAAGTCCCGATAATCAATCACTTTCGAATCTTCCAACTATTGGGCAAGTGTTTTCTGCTCTACTCTCTTCGGTCTCTCCGCTCCGCTTTCCTCGCTCCGATCTACAATGCAACACATACTTGACCACAGGCGAAAACGTCTCCGTGTAGTCGATGCCATACTTTTGGCGAAAACCCTTGGCCACAAGTCGTGCCTTGTATTTCTCGATCGACCCATCCGCCTTGCGCTTGATCTTGAAGACCCACTTTGTGCCAAAGGCGCGTTGTCCGTTGGGTAACTTGGCCGCACGAAAGACACCGCGAAGCTTCATCGAATCGAGCTCCGCATCAATTGCCTTGCGCCAGTGTACTTGGTCCGGGCCAGACACTGCTTCTTCAAATGTCGACGGCTCCGAAAAATCGACCGCTGCTTCGACGGCGTTTGCACTCGCATGCCAAAACGCGGAGGAAGTCGGTGTGTCATGTTGTTCCTCCGACTTCCTTTCTTCATCTTCGTTGGCTCGACGTGAAGAGAGGTCATCCGGCGCACTTGACTCTTCCAATCCGGGTCGTTGGCGCACTGCTCGGGGCATGCTTGCGTCGTCATTGTCGTGACTGGGTTGGGCCTTGCGCTTTCCTGTTTGTTTGAAGTGTCTCGGACGCGGTTCTTCCTCATCAAGATCGATCGATTCGAAGTCCAGGCCATCAACATCGTCATCGGAAATCAGCATCGACATTCCAAAGGCCGACTCATCGAAGTTGACATCGCGACTTATCATCACCTGCCCCGCTTCGATGTCGTAAACTCGATACGCCTTGGACACTTCTTCGTAGCCCCAAAAACAATCCAGCCCGGGCCTTGGGATCCCACTTGAGTCGTTTCTCCTTCGGGGTCAAGATGTATGCTTGGCACCCAAAAACGCGCATGTGCTTGACACTTGGCTTAGAATTGTAGACAATCTCGAACGGTGTCTTGTGTGGAATCTTGGGTGACGGCAAACGGTTCTTCACATAGACGGCCGTCATTGCCGCTTCAGCCCAGAAGCACTTGTCCAACTTGGCATGATGGAGCATGCTACGACCGATGGTGACGATAGTTCGAATCGCGCGTTCAGCAGTTCCATTGGCTTGATGTGCGTATGGCACCGTGGTTTGTTGCTCGATGCCTTCGACTTCGTAGAAATCTTGAAGCGAGTTCGTCGCAAACTCGCGGGCTCCATCGTGTCGCACAAATTTGACCTTCTTGTTGAACTGCGTCTGTATCATCGTGATGTACTTCTTGATGCACTCTTCGCTCTCTGACTTGGAATGCAGACAAAAACCCTTCATGCATCCGCTGGCTTCATCCACGATCAGCAGCAGATACTTGCTGCCACCCAGATATTTTTCTTCCATGGGTCCGCAGATGTCGAAGTGGAGCATCTCGAAGGTGTTGTAGGTGCGCTTGTCACGGTTGCTCGGGAATGGTTTTTGGACCATCTTCCCTTCTTGGCATCCTCGCACACACACTTGATCCATTCGGCTTGGAAGGGATGTGAGCGTCCTTGATCATGTGGCTTGTCACCATCCTGCGAAGCACGTCGACTGGAGCATGGCCCATTCGCGCATGTAGATCAACAGCGTTGCTGAGTGATGTCGCATTGGCCGATCGCTGCGTCGTGCGAAGCCAGTAGAGTCCGTCTACAAGATCCGCAGCTGCCACCACTTGGTTGGAATCCTTGCGAGCGACGTACATCGTATCCCCGTCAAACACCACTTGGAAGTTGCCGTGCTTGTTAATCTGCGGCACCGAGAGCAGATTTTTGCTCATGCTGGGCACATAGAGCGCGTTCTTGATCTCGATCTCGCGCTCTTCCCCGTTTGGCAGAATCACCTTTTCCACGATGGTCCCCACACCTTTGATGGCCGCCTTGTTGCCATCAGCCACCAGGATCTCGCCATCATTGCCTTCGACCAAGCTTGCAAACTTGAACTTGTCGTGGCAGATGTGATGTGTTGCCCCGCTGTCAACGGCCCACATTCCTGGTCCATTCTTGTTCGTCGAAACTCCGCATTCGAACGAAACTGCAAACGCCACTCGATCGTAGCTGTTGCCTTCATCATAATGTCGCCACTGGACATTGTTTGCCCCGCGTCCACGACCATTGCCGCCGCGTTGGGCTCCTCGACTTTCATCCTTTTGCTTCGTCCAGCAACGCTCTGCCGTGTGCCCCACCTTGCCGCAGTATGTGCATTGGTAGGGCTTGCGCTCGGTACTGAATGCCTTTGTCGCATCTTCAGTCTTCACCGTTGTCGTTGCCGTTGTCATCTTCTCGCCTTGTCGCTTGATGTGCTCGTTAGTCAGCACCTTGACCACATCTTGCGTGCGCAGCTCTGCATTGCTCATCTCCAAGTTCAGAACCACGTTCTCGAAACTCTTCGGGAGACTGAGCAGCAAGCAGATCGCAATGTCTTCGTCTTCCATCTTGGCACCGATGCTGCTGAGCTTGGCGCCGATGTTCAAGACTTCGTTGCAATGGTGCAAGACGTTGGCACCTTCCGCCATCTTGATGCTGAACAGCTGGCGCTTGAAGTAGATGCGTCCCGCCTTCTGCGACCCACCATAGAGCATCTTCAACCGCGACCACGCTGTCCATGCTTCTTCACAGTTGTCGGCCACATGGTGGTAGTCGGCGTCCATGTGGAGCAACATCAACCCGAACGCGATGTTGCTCGCCTTGACGTACTCGTCGGAAGCTCGCGTGTCGGTGAAGGTTGGAGACGTTTCGCGGTTCACGACGTACCAGACTGACTTCGTCAGAAACACGCCGCGCATGTAGCGACACCAGGTTGAGTAGTTGTCCCCATCGAACTTATCGATGGAGACACTGGCCGAGGTGTTGTTGGACGACATGGCGCTTGGGCTCATAACCTGTTGTAACTTGAGCGCGAGGCGAAGAGAAAACGAAGCGGAGAGACCGGAGAGAACGAAGCAGAGAACACTTGCTCACTTGAGTGAGGATTCGAAAGTGATTGATTTATAGGTCTTAACTTCTGCCTACCCTAGACTGCATCCAATCACATGGTGCATCTAATCAACCTGATTTACACGCGTCCAATCATCCTACGCGTCTAATCATCTCTGAGGTAATTACCGATGTAAAAACTATCTCGTAAGAACTACGCGCTAGGTTCGGATTGTACCGGTAACCCTCAATACATACATCTTGGACCCGTCAAACACGACTTGAAACTTGCCATGGCTGTTAATCTGTGGTACCGAGAGCAGGTTCTTGCTCATACTTGGAACATATAGCGCGTTCTTGATTTCGATCTCACGCTCTTCACCGTTGGGCAGAACCACCTTTTCCATTATGGTTCCCACACCCTTGATGGCCACCTTGTTGCCATCAGCCACCAAGAGTTCGCCCTCATTGCGCTCTGCCAAACTTGCGAACTTGGTCTTGTCGTGGCAAATGTGGTGCGTTGCACCACTGTCGACGGCCCACATTCCAGACACGTCCTTGCTCGTCGAAACTCCACATTCGAACGAGACTGCAAACGCCACTCGATCGTAGCCATTGCCTTCATCATGATGTCCCCACTGGACATTGTTAGCCCCGCGTCCACGACCATTGCCGCCGCGTCGGGCTCCCCCGACCTTCGTTCTTCTGTTTTGTCCAGCAACGATCCACCGTGTGTCCCACCTTGCCACAATACGTGCATTGGTAGGGCTCACGCTCGGCGCTGAATGCCTTGCTTGCATCTTCAGCCTTCACCGTAGTCGCTGTCGTTGTCCCTTTTTCTCCTTGACGCTTGGCATGCTCATTCGTCAGGACTCTCACCACATCTTGAGTGCGAAGCTCGGTGCTGCTCATTTCCATGTTGAGCACCACATTTTCGTAGCTCTTCGGAAGACTGAGTAGCAGACAAATTGCAACGTCTTCGTCTTCCATCTTCGCACCGATGCCGCTAAGCTTGGCGGAGATGTTGAGGACCTCGTTGCAGTGATGCATGACGTTCGCGCCTTCAGCCATCTTGATGCTGAAAAGTTGTCGCTTGAGGTAGATGCGTCCTGCCTTCTGCGACCCACCGTACAGCGTCTTCAGACTTGTCCACGCAACCCAGGCTTCCTCGCAGTTGTCCAGCACATGATGGTAGTCCGCGTTCATGTGCAGCAGCATCATACCAAACGCGACGTTGCTTGCCTTGACGTAGTCATCGGACGCTCGCGGGTCGGTGAAAGTCGGAGTCACTTCACGGTTGACGACGTGCCAGACGGACTTCGTCAAAAACACACTGCGCATGTACCGGCTCCACGTTGCGTAATTCTCTCCGTTGAACTTGTCAATGGAGGCGTTGCTGGTGGACGACATGGCGCTTGGGCTCATAACCTGTTGCATTGTAGATCGGAGCGAGGAAAGCGGAGCGAACGGAGCGGAGAGACCGAAGAGAGTAGAGCAGAAAACACTTGCCCAATAGTTGGAAGATTCGAAAGTGATTGATTATCGGGACTTACTACTTACTACATGATTTATATGTGGTGTACATATAAATCATGTGAAGCGTCTCATCATCCTACGCGTCTAATCAACTATGGTAATTACCGTAAGAACTACGTCGTAAATACTAGGCTGAACAGGCGGTTCGGATTGGACCGGTCACGGTTACCAACACTGGTAGAAAACCGATGACCGTCAACAGCAATGAGGGCGAACTCTTGGTGGCTGATGGCAACAAGGTGGCCATCAAGGGTGTGGGAACCATCATGGAAAAGGTGGTTCTGCCCAACGGTGAAGAGCGTGAGATCGAAATCAAGAACGCGCTATATGTTCCAAGTATGAGCAAGAACCTGCTCTCGGTACCACAGATTAACAGCCATGGCAAGTTTCAAGTCGTGTTTGACGGGTCCAAGATGTATGTGACTCTCAAGAACTCACAGCAAGTGGTGGCGACTGCGGATCTCGTGGATGGACTCTACTGGCTTCGGACGACTCAACGATCAGCGAATGTGACAACAAGTGGAACCAGTTGTGCCGATCTACATGCGAGAATGGGTCATGCTCCAGTCGATGTACTTCGCAAGATGATCGCGACCAACATGATCAAGGATGTGCGAGTCCCTCTCAAGTCGGGTGGAGCAACTACATGTCGAGGATGTCAACAAGGGAAAATGGTCCAAAAACCATTTCCAAGCAACCGAGACAAGCGCAGCTACGATACGTTTGAGCTGCTTCTGATGAACTTTAGACTTCTTGGTCCGAGTGCAAAACGCAAAGTGAATATATATTTATAATAGGTACTTAGTTCGCAACTTTGAATGCTACCTCTAAGCCTATTATTCGCAGTGACGTCACCCACTGACGTCACCCACTGACGTCATGCAATGACGTCATCCAGTGACGTCATTTCCTGACTTCGCCCTTACTGGTACATACCGGTACCCACCGGTATAGCGAAGCTTGGTCTTCCACTTGCTTCAACACTTGACGCAGCTTGACGAGGTGTCTTCTTCACAGCCGCTGTCTTTTCAACACTCCCTCTCGACTCGTTAGCTGCGGCACCTTGGATCCCAAGTCGATCGCGAATGTTTTCAAATTGTACAGCGGCGATCGGCTTGGTCATCATGTCTGCCAGCATATCTTGAGTCGGGCAATACTCCAAAACGACTTCACCTGATTCCACCTTCTCACGCACAAAATGGTAGCGTATGTCGATGTGTTTTGTTCTCTTATGGAACTCCGGGTTCTTGGCGAGAGCGATTGATCCTTGGTTGTCTTCATACATCTTGATCGCTTCGTCGCTTGTCATCTCACCAAGTTCCCCCAAAAGCACTTTGAGCCATACTGCTTCTTTGGTTGCTTCGGAAAGCGCCATGTATTCTGCTTCTGTTGAAGATAGCGCGACCGTCCGTTGTTTCTGGCTTTTCCAGCTGATGCATCCTCCGCTCATCATGAACACATAGCCGCTTGTACTTCGTCTTGACTCAATGTCGCCGGCCCAGTCTGCGTCGGTGTACCCGCAGATACGGCTTCCTTCTTCACGTGTAAACTCAAGACCATGATTGGGCGTTGCTTGCAGGTATCTCAGCACACGCTTCAAAGCTTGCCAGTGAGTCGGGCATGGGTCGGACGAGAACTGGGATAATGATCCCACTGCAGCAGCTAGATCCGGACGTGTGGCGACCATGAGATACATGATGCCTCCGACAGCACTTCGATATGGCACGTTGCACATGGTGTCTTCGTGCTTGCATTCTTGTTCACACATGTTCTTGGTTAGCTTCTGGCCGGGATCTTGAGGCGTCTTCACTGGCTTGCTGTTATCCATTCCGAACTTGGTTAACACGGACTTGAGAAACTTGGTTTGTTGTACAGTCACCATTCCCGTCTTACGGTCGTTCTTGATCTCCATGCCGAGAAAGTAATCGAGCTCACCGAGATCCGTCATTTCGAAGCGTTTGCTCAGCGCCATCTTGGTTGACTTGAGGAGTTCGTTGTTGCTGCTGGCCAGGATGAGATCATCGACGTAGAGCACCACGAGAATCATGTCTTGGTCGTCTCGCTTGATGTAGATGCAGTGGTCCGATTCGCACTTCTTGAATCCCATCTTGATCATGAACCCATCGATTGTTTGGTTCCACATGCGAGGCGATTGCTTCAAGCCGTAGAGTGACTCTCTTTAGCTTGCACACATAGTCCGGCTGTGTTGCATCCAGGTATCCGTCCGGCTGGTCCATGTAGATGTCTTCGTTGAGGGAGCCGTTAAGAAACGCTGTCTTGACGTCCATCTGATGTAGCATTAGGCCGTACTTAGCCGCCATACTGAGCACCACACGAATCGATGTGAACTTGGCCACCGGTGCGAAAGTTTCTTCATAGTCAACTCCGAATTTCTGTGAGAATCCTTTGGCCACAAGTCTTGCCTTGAAACGTTCAACTTCGCCATCTTGATTCTCCTTTACACGAAAAACCCATCGGCACCCGATGGCCTTGCGACCTTTCGGAAGAGGCACGATTTCCCACGTGTCGTTTCTCTGAAGCGAATCGAACTCCGAGTCACACGCTTCTTTCCACTTGCCGGAGTCGCTTGATTCCATCGCCGACTTGAATGTAGTCGGCGTTTCCCCCACTGAATCAACGATGTAGGCTGCTTCAAAATCCATTGCAGCCGCTGACACATGCTCAAGCGACGGACCTCTGTATGTTCTTCGCTTGGGACTTGGAATGACGGTAGCTTTCTCAAGTGATTGAGTGCGCGTGTGTCTCTTGATGTTGCTCTTCGAAGACCTGGTGTCTTCGTTGTCATCGTCGCTCGAGTCCATGTCGTCGTCAGTTTTACCTTCTTCTTTTTCTTCGTCCTCATCATGATCATCAAACTCAACGACACTTGACTCATCGTTGTAGTTGCGCGGACCTTCATCAAACTTGTCTTCCATGAATGTGGCATCGCGACTGATCTTGATCGCTCCTGTTGACACTTCCTCAAATCGATATGACTTCTGGTGTTCGGCGTATCCCAGGAAACGACAGAGTGATGACTTGGAGTCGAACTTCGCGCGTTTGTCTTGAGGCACTTGAACATACGCGTGGCATCCAAACACTTTAAGGTTGGCCAGAATCGGTTTCTTCATCGTCCACACTTGATATGGAGACTTGTCTTGGTGAATGGCACGTGTTGGACAGCGGTTTCGAAGAAACATCGCCGTCATCACTGCTTCACCCCAGTAGCTCTTTCCCAGTCCAGCGTGTTCCATCATGCAACGCGCACACTCGACCAGCGTGCGATTCATTCTCTCTCAGCTACTCCGTTTAGCTGAGGAGTATATGGGGGTGTGAACCTTTGTTGTATTCCCCGTTCCGCGCAGAATCGTGCCAGCTTGTCGGACTTGTATTCACCCCCATTGTCGCTTTGAAGGTACTTCACGCGCTTTCCGGTTTGCGTTTCGGCCATCGCAGCGTATTCCATGAACTTCGCCGCAACTTCAGATTTGCTCTTGAGCAGATAGACGACACAGTATCTTGACTTGTCATCAATGAATGTCACGAAGTACCGTTTTCCACTGAAAGTTGCCATCGACATCGGTCCGCATACGTCGCTGTGAATCACTTCGAGGAGTTTGAGGTGCGAGCTGTAGTGTTTGATTGGAAGCGCACTCGAGTCTGTTTTCCCAGAGCACAACCTTCACACACGTCCCACTTCTTCACCGAAGATATGTCGATGCCAATTCCATGTTCTTCGTCACGATGCAATTGAGTCCATCGTGACCTATGTGGCCAAGCCGAAGGTGCCAGAGGTACGACTTGGTGCCCCTTGACATCCCGACGACTTGGCTGCATTTGCTTGTTCCGGCGCCACTGGAGTCATTTGCAGCTTGAACAGTCCTTTACCTTCACGGGCACCAATTTTCCACTTGGTCCCTTTCGCTTCTCCATAGCACCCATCCTTCGTGAACGTCACTGGGCCGACATCCTTGGTGAAGCGGCCGACCGAGAACAGGTTTCTGGATAACTTTGGGATGTGCCACACGTTTGTGAGCACACCTTTCTTCATCCCTTGGGGTGTCTTCATCGACATGACAATGTCCCCACTGCCGATTGCTTGACGATTCCATCATCCGCGAGATGGACATCCACAGCGTCAAACCCCTTGTAGTTCCGCATGAACTTCTTGGAGCACGTCATGTGCTGCGTCGCCCCGGAGTCGACCAGCCAGATGTCGCTCGATTTCGCAGATGTCGTTTCACCGATCGAAAAGAGGTAGTCGCCCGAGTCTTCTTCTTGAGCGACGTTTGCACGTTGTGATCGATAGCGGTCGCCGCTGTCTTGAGCACGCTGTGGCCGGTGTCTCTCCGTGTTTTCTTGGATGCGCGAGGGGCACTCCGCCATCCAGTGACCAATCTTTCCGCAATTGTGGCACGGCCAGGACTTCTTCACTGGTCGCCCTTTGCGCTGATTGTCCCTTGTGATGAACGCTTGACCTTGCGAAGCTTCATCACCTTTACTTCCTTGCTCCTTCCGCTTCATTTCTTCATGAAGCAGTCGAGACGTCACGAGCTCCCAGCTAAGAGTGTCTGAGCGCGACTCCAAAGCTGTGATCAAGAATTGATACGAGTCACTCAGGCTGCCGAGGAGTGTGATCACCAGATCGTCCTCGCAGACTGGAGCCCCCACCGCTTCTAGCTGTTCCGCCAGCGTCTTGAGCTTGTTGATGTGTTCGAGCACATCGTCGCCTTCTTCCATCATTGTCGTGAAGAAGCGACGGCGCAAGAACAGCTTGTTGGCAAGACTCTTCTTCTCGAAGTGGTCTTCCAACCTTGACCATGCGTCGCATGCACCACTTGCCGACCGGACCAACGGTAGCTGGGAATCTTCCATGGCTAGACAGATCACTGCCATCGCCTTTCTTGACTTCCTCTTGTACGTCGCTTGGTCCAACTGAGTCTCGCACTGTTCCGCCTTGATCTCACCGCTGACGACCTCCCATAGGTCCCGTTCCTCCAGCACCATCTGCATCTTGAACTTCCAGGCGTGGAAGTTAGTTCCATCGAACTTGGAGATGCGGAGGGAGGAGGCGTCCATGGCAGCTAAGCTTGAATTGTTGGCGGTTTCAGAGTCTGACGAACTTGGGCTCATAACCTGATGAACTTTAGACTTCTTGGTCCGAGTGCAAAACGCAAAGTGAATATATATTTATAATAGGTACTTAGTTCGCAACTTTGAATACTACCTCTAAGCCTATTATTCGCAGTGACGTCACCCACTGACGTCACCCACTGACGTCACCCACTGACGTCATGCAATGACGTCATCCAGTGACGTCATTTCCTGACTTCGCCCTTACTGGTACATACCGGTACCCACCGGTATAGCGAAGCTTGGTCTTCCACTTGCTTCAACACTTGACGCAGCTTGACGAGGTGTCTTCTTCACAGCCGCTGTCTTTTCAACAGCTTCATCTGGACATCTGCGGGCCCATGGAAAAGGATTCGCTCGGTGGCAGCAAATATTTGCTGCTGATCATCGACGAAGCCAGTGGATGCATGAAGGGATTTTGTCTACGAGTGAAATCCGAGAGTGAAGACTACATCCGGAAATATATCACCATGGTACAGACGCAATTCTGTAAGAAGGTCAAGTTCGTGCGACACGACGGAGCTCGCGAGTTTGCAACCAACTCGCTTCAGCTGTTCTACGAAGACGAAGGCATTGAACAGCAGACAACGGTGCCGTATGCACATCAAACAAACGGAACAGCAGAGCGTGCCATTAGGACTATTGTCACGATCGGCCGCAGCATGCTTCATCATGCCAAACTGGACAAGTGTTTCTGGGCCGAAGCAGCGATGACGGCCATCTACGTCAAGAATCGACTGCCGTCACCTAAAGTCGTGCACAAGACCCCGTTTGAGATCGTCTACAACTTGAAACCAAGCGTCAAGCACATGCGAACATTCGGATATCAGACGTACATACTGACGCCTAAAGAGAATCGACTCAAGTGGGATCCAAAGGCTCGCGCTGGCATATTCGTGGGCTACGAAGAAGTTTCGAAGGCATATCGTGTTTATGACATCGAGGCGGGGCAGGTGGTTATCAGCCGCGATGTCAACTTCGACGAGTCCACCTTTGGACTTCAACTGCCGATCACCGATGAAGATGTCGATGACCTGGACTTCGAATTGCTGGATCTTGATGACGAAGAGCTGCGTCAAATGGAGTACAAGCAAACAGGCAAGCGCAAGAACCGACTCAATGATGAAGATACAGCAGCTCCACGACCGCGTGCAGTGCGTCAACGACCAGGACTAGAAGAGTCAAGCGCGCCGGAAAACAACTCGTCACGCCAAGAAGAAGACGAAGAAACGAAGGATTCTGGTGATTCAACACCGCCTGTGTTTTGGCGTGCGAGTGCAAATGCCGTTGAAGCAGCAGTGGACTTATCAGAGCCCTCAACATTTGAAGCAGCAGTAAGCGGCCCTGACCAAGTGCACTGGAGAAAAGCAATTCATGCAGAGCTCGAGTCAATGCGACTTCGCGGTGTGTTTCGTGCAGCCAAGCTGCCCAACGGACAACGCGCCATTGGCACAAAATGGGTGTTCAAGATCAAGCGTAAAGCGGACGGATCCATCGAGAAGTACAAGGCACGTCTCGTGGCAAAGGGTTTTCGCCAAAAGTATGGAATCGACTACACGGAGACGTTTTCGCCCGTGGTCAAGTATGTGACGCTGCGAATGGTGATCGCAATTTCCAAGCATTTTGGATGGCCCATCGACCAGCTTGATGTGGTGACAGCTTTCCTGTATGGCGTCATGAAGGAACAAGTGTTCTGCGTGATTCCTGAAGGCGTCGAACTTGACAGTACGTTCGACTGCCTGGAATTGGTGAAGGCAATTTACGGCCTGAAGCAAGCTTTGCGAGTATGGAACGAGACGTTTGACGAGTTTGTGTGTTCCATTGGATTTCAAGTGTCAGGCTTCGACCCATGTCTCTACATCAAGACTTCGGACGGCCATTGCGTGTTTATACTGGTCTACGTGGACGACGTCTTGGTGACTGGAAGCTCGCTCGAGCTGATTGCACAAACCAAGAACGACCTGAAGACGCGGTTCGAAATGACGGACAGCGGCAAGTGTGCGTTTGTTCTTGGGATCGAGCTTTTGGACGGTGAAGATGGCAGTGTGACACTATGTCAGCGTCGGTATTGATGAACTTTAGACTTCTTGGTCCGAGTGCAAAACGCAAAGTAAATATATATTTATAATAGGTACTTAGTTCGCAACTTTGAATACTACCTCTAAGCCTATTATTCGCAGTGACGTCATCCAGTGACGTCACCCACTGACGTCACCCACTGACGTCATGCAATGACGTCATCCAGTGACGTCATTTCCTGACTTCGCCCTTACTGGTACATTCCGGTACCCACCGGTATAGCGAAGCTTGGTCTTCCACTTGCTTCAACACTTGACGCAGCTTGACGAGGTGTCTTCTTCACAGCCTCTGTCTTTTCAACACTCCCTCTCGACTCGTTAGCTGCGGCACCTTGGATCCCAAGTCGATCGCGAATGTTTTCAAATTTTTTTGTACAGCGGCGATCGGCTTGGTCATCATGTCTGCCAGCATATCTTGAGTCGGGCAATACTCCAAAACGACTTCACCTGATTCCACCTTCTCACGCACAAAATGGTAGCGTATGTCGATGTGTTTTGTTCTCTTATGGAACTCCGGGTTCTTGGCGAGAGCGATTGATCCTTGGTTGTCTTCATACATCTTGATCGCTTCGTCGCTTGTCATCTCACCAAGTTCCCCCAAAAGCACTTTGAGCCATACTGCTTCTTTGGTTGCTTCGGAAAGCGCCATGTATTCTGCTTCTGTTGAAGATAGCGCGACCGTCCGTTGTTTCTGGCTTTTCCAGCTGATGCATCCTCCGCTCATCATGAACACATAGCCGCTTGTACTTCGTCTTGACTCAATGTCGCCGGCCCAGTCTGCGTCGGTGTACCCGCAGATACGGCTTCCTTCTTCACGTGTAAACTCAAGACCATGATTGGGCGTTGCTTGCAGGTATCTCAGCACACGCTTCAAAGCTTGCCAGTGAGTCGGGCATGGGTCGGACGAGAACTGGGATAATGATCCCACTGCAGCAGCTAGATCCGGACGTGTGGCGACCATGAGATACATGATGCCTCCGACAGCACTTCGATATGGCACGTTGCACATGGTGTCTTCGTGCTTGCATTCTTGTTCACACATGTTCTTGGTTAGCTTCAGGCCGGGATCTTGAGGCGTCTTCACTGGCTTGCTGTTATCCATTCCGGAACTTGGTTAACACGGACTTGAGAAACTTGGTTTGTTGTACAGTCACCATTCCCGTCTTACGGTCGTTCTTGATCTCCATGCCGAGAAAGTAATCGAGCTCACCGAGATCCGTCATTTCGAAGCGTTTGCTCAGCGCCATCTTGGTTGACTTGAGGAGTTCGTTGTTGCTGCTGGCCAGGATGAGATCATCGACGTAGAGCACCACGAGAATCATGTCTTGGTCGTCTCGCTTGATGTAGATGCAGTGGTCCGATTCGCACTTCTTGAATCCCATCTTGATCATGAACCCATCGATTGTTTGGTTCCACATGCGAGGCGATTGCTTCAAGCCGTAGAGTGATCTCTTTAGCTTGCACACATAGTCCGGCTGTGTTGCATCCAGGTATCCGTCCGGCTGGTCCATGTAGATGTCTTCGTTGAGGGAGCCGTTAAGAAACGCTGTCTTGACGTCCATCTGATGTAGCATTAGGCCGTACTTAGCCGCCATACTGAGCACCACACGAATCGATGTGAACTTGGCCACCGGTGCGAAAGTTTCTTCATAGTCAACTCCGAATTTCTGTGAGAATCCTTTGGCCACAAGTCTTGCCTTGAAACGTTCAACTTCGCCATCTTGATTCTCCTTTACACGAAAAACCCATCGGCACCCGATGGCCTTGCGACCTTTCGGAAGAGGCACGATTTCCCACGTGTCGTTTCTCTGAAGCGAATCGAACTCCGAGTCACACGCTTCTTTCCACTTGCCGGAGTCGCTTGATTCCATCGCCGACTTGAATGTAGTCGGCGTTTCCCCCACTGAATCAACGATGTAGGCTGCTTCAAAATCCATTGCAGCCGCTGACACATGCTCAAGCGACGGACCTCTGTATGTTCTTCGCTTGGGACTTGGAATGACGGTAGCTTTCTCAAGTGATTGAGTGCGCGTGTGTCTCTTGATGTTGCTCTTCGAAGACCTGGTGTCTTCGTTGTCATCGTCGCTCGAGTCCATGTCGTCGTCAGTTTTACCTTCTTCTTTTTCTTCGTCCTCATCATGATCATCAAACTCAACGACACTTGACTCATCGTTGTAGTTGCGCGGACCTTCATCAAACTTGTCTTCCATGAATGTGGCATCGCGACTGATCTTGATCGCTCCTGTTGACACTTCCTCAAATCGATATGACTTCTGGTGTTCGGCGTATCCCAGGAAACGACAGAGTGATGACTTGGAGTCGAACTTCGCGCGTTTGTCTTGAGGCACTTGAACATACGCGTGGCATCCAAACACTTTAAGGTTGGCCAGAATCGGTTTCTTCATCGTCCACACTTGATATGGAGACTTGTCTTGGTGAATGGCACGTGTTGGACAGCGGTTTCGAAGAAACATCGCCGTCATCACTGCTTCACCCCAGTAGCTCTTTCCCAGTCCAGCGTGTTCCATCATGCAACGCGCACACTCGACCAGCGTGCGATTCATTCTCTCAGCTACTCCGTTTAGCTGAGGAGTATATGGTGATGAACTTTAGACTTCTTGGTCCGAGTGCAAAACGCAAAGTAAATATATATTTATAATAGGTACTTAGTTCGCAACTTTGAATACTACCTCTAAGCCTATTATTCGCAGTGACGTCATCCAGTGACGTCACCCACTGACGTCACCCACTGACGTCATGCAATGACGTCATCCAGTGACGTCATTTCCTGACTTCGCCCTTACTGGTACATACCGGTACCCACCGGTATAGCGAAGCTTGGTCTTCCACTTGCTTCAACACTTGACGCAGCTTGACGAGGTGTCTTCTTCACAGCCGCTGTCTTTTCAACACTCCCTCTCGACTCGTTAGCTGCGGCACCTTGGATCCCAAGTCGATCGCGAATGTTTTCAAATTGTACAGCGGCGATCGGCTTGGTCATCATGTCTGCCAGCATATCTTGAGTCGGGCAATACTCCAAAACGACTTCACCTGATTCCACCTTCTCACGCACAAAATGGTAGCGTATGTCGATGTGTTTTGTTCTCTTATGGAACTCCGGGTTCTTGGCGAGAGCGATTGATCCTTGGTTGTCTTCATACATCTTGATCGCTTCGTCGCTTGTCATCTCACCAAGTTCCCCCAAAAGCACTTTGAGCCATACTGCTTCTTTGGTTGCTTCGGAAAGCGCCATGTATTCTGCTTCTGTTGAAGATAGCGCGACCGTCCGTTGTTTCTGGCTTTTCCAGCTGATGCATCCTCCGCTCATCATGAACACATAGCCGCTTGTACTTCGTCTTGACTCAATGTCGCCGGCCCAGTCTGCGTCGGTGTACCCGCAGATACGGCTTCCTTCTTCACGTGTAAACTCAAGACCATGATTGGGCGTTGCTTGCAGGTATCTCAGCACACGCTTCAAAGCTTGCCAGTGAGTCGGGCATGGGTCGGACGAGAACTGGGATAATGATCCCACTGCAGCAGCTAGATCCGGACGTGTGGCGACCATGAGATACATGATGCCTCCGACAGCACTTCGATATGGCACGTTGCACATGGTGTCTTCGTGCTTGCATTCTTGTTCACACATGTTCTTGGTTAGCTTCAGGCCGGGATCTTGAGGCGTCTTCACTGGCTTGCTGTTATCCATTCCGAACTTGGTTAACACGGACTTGAGAAACTTGGTTTGTTGTACAGTCACCATTCCCGTCTTACGGTCGTTCTTGATCTCCATGCCGAGAAAGTAATCGAGCTCACCGAGATCCGTCATTTCGAAGCGTTTGCTCAGCGCCATCTTGGTTGACTTGAGGAGTTCGTTGTTGCTGCTGGCCAGGATGAGATCATCGACGTAGAGCACCACGAGAATCATGTCTTGGTCGTCTCGCTTGATGTAGATGCAGTGGTCCGATTCGCACTTCTTGAATCCCATCTTGATCATGAACCCATCGATTGTTTGGTTCCACATGCGAGGCGATTGCTTCAAGCCGTAGAGTGATCTCTTTAGCTTGCACACATAGTCCGGCTGTGTTGCATCCAGGTATCCGTCCGGCTGGTCCATGTAGATGTCTTCGTTGAGGGAGCCGTTAAGAAACGCTGTCTTGACGTCCATCTGATGTAGCATTAGGCCGTACTTAGCCGCCATACTGAGCACCACACGAATCGATGTGAACTTGGCCACCGGTGCGAAAGTTTCTTCATAGTCAACTCCGAATTTCTGTGAGAATCCTTTGGCCACAAGTCTTGCCTTGAAACGTTCAACTTCGCCATCTTGATTCTCCTTTACACGAAAAACCCATCGGCACCCGATGGCCTTGCGACCTTTCGGAAGAGGCACGATTTCCCACGTGTCGTTTCTCTGAAGCGAATCGAACTCCGAGTCACACGCTTCTTTCCACTTGCCGGAGTCGCTTGATTCCATCGCCGACTTGAATGTAGTCGGCGTTTCCCCCACTGAATCAACGATGTAGGCTGCTTCAAAATCCATTGCAGCCGCTGACACATGCTCAAGCGACGGACCTCTGTATGTTCTTCGCTTGGGACTTGGAATGACGGTAGCTTTCTCAAGTGATTGAGTGCGCGTGTGTCTCTTGATGTTGCTCTTCGAAGACCTGGTGTCTTCGTTGTCATCGTCGCTCGAGTCCATGTCGTCGTCAGTTTTACCTTCTTCTTTTTCTTCGTCCTCATCATGATCATCAAACTCAACGACACTTGACTCATCGTTGTAGTTGCGCGGACCTTCATCAAACTTGTCTTCCATGAATGTGGCATCGCGACTGATCTTGATCGCTCCTGTTGACACTTCCTCAAATCGATATGACTTCTGGTGTTCGGCGTATCCCAGGAAACGACAGAGTGATGACTTGGAGTCGAACTTCGCGCGTTTGTCTTGAGGCACTTGAACATACGCGTGGCATCCAAACACTTTAAGGTTGGCCAGAATCGGTTTCTTCATCGTCCACACTTGATATGGAGACTTGTCTTGGTGAATGGCACGTGTTGGACAGCGGTTTCGAAGAAACATCGCCGTCATCACTGCTTCACCCCAGTAGCTCTTTCCCAGTCCAGCGTGTTCCATCATGCAACGCGCACACTCGACCAGCGTGCGATTCATTCTCTCAGCTACTCCGTTTAGCTGAGGAGTATATGGGGGTGTGAACCTTTGTTGTATTCCCCGTTCCGCGCAGAATCGTGCCAGCTTGTCGGACTTGTATTCACCCCCATTGTCGCTTTGAAGGTACTTCACGCGCTTTCCGGTTTGCGTTTCGGCCATCGCAGCGTATTCCATGAACTTCGCCGCAACTTCAGATTTGCTCTTGAGCAGATAGACGACACAGTATCTTGACTTGTCATCAATGAATGTCACGAAGTACCGTTTTCCACTGAAAGTTGCCATCGACATCGGTCCGCATACGTCGCTGTGAATCACTTCGAGGAGTTTGGAGGTGCGAGCTGTAGTGTTTGATTGGAAGCGCACTCGAGTCTGTTTTCCCAGAGCACAACCTTCACACACGTCCCACTTCTTCACCGAAGATATGTCGATGCCAATTCCAATGTTCTTCGTCACGATGCAATTGAGTCCATCGTGACCTATGTGGCCAAGCCGAAGGTGCCAGAGGTACGACTTGGTGCCCCCTTGACATCCCGACGACTTGGCTGCATTTGCTTGTTCCGGCGCCACTGGAGTCATTTGCAGCTTGAACAGTCCTTTACCTTCACGGGCACCAATTTTCCACTTGGTCCCTTTCGCTTCTCCATAGCACCCATCCTTCGTGAACGTCACTGGGCCGACATCCTTGGTGAAGCGGCCGACCGAGAACAGGTTTCTGGATAACTTTGGGATGTGCCACACGTTTGTGAGCACACCTTTCTTCATCCCTTGGGGTGTCTTCATCGACATGACAATGTCCCCACTGCCGATTGCTTGACGATTCCATCATCCGCGAGATGGACATCCACAGCGTCAAACCCCTTGTAGTTCCGCATGAACTTCTTGGAGCACGTCATGTGCTGCGTCGCCCCGGAGTCGACCAGCCAGATGTCGCTCGATTTCGCAGATGTCGTTTCACCGATCGAAAAGAGGTAGTCGCCCGAGTCTTCTTCTTGAGCGACGTTTGCACGTTGTGATCGATAGCGGTCGCCGCTGTCTTGAGCACGCTGTGGCCGGTGTCTCTCCGTGTTTTCTTGGATGCGCGAGGGGCACTCCGCCATCCAGTGACCAATCTTTCCGCAATTGTGGCACGGCCAGGACTTCTTCACTGGTCGCCCTTTGCGCTGATTGTCCCTTGTGATGAACGCTTGACCTTGCGAAGCTTCATCACCTTTACTTCCTTGCTCCTTCCGCTTCATTTCTTCATGAAGCAGTCGAGACGTCACGAGCTCCCAGCTAAGAGTGTCTGAGCGCGACTCCAAAGCTGTGATCAAGAATTGATACGAGTCACTCAGGCTGCCGAGGAGTGTGATCACCAGATCGTCCTCGCAGACTGGAGCCCCCACCGCTTCTAGCTGTTCCGCCAGCGTCTTGAGCTTGTTGATGTGTTCGAGCACATCGTCGCCTTCTTCCATCATTGTCGTGAAGAAGCGACGGCGCAAGAACAGCTTGTTGGCAAGACTCTTCTTCTCGAAGTGGTCTTCCAACCTTGACCATGCGTCGCATGCACCACTTGCCGACCGGACCAACGGTAGCTGGGAATCTTCCATGGCTAGACAGATCACTGCCATCGCCTTTCTTGACTTCCTCTTGTACGTCGCTTGGTCCAACTGAGTCTCGCACTGTTCCGCCTTGATCTCACCGCTGACGACCTCCCATAGGTCCCGTTCCTCCAGCACCATCTGCATCTTGAACTTCCAGGCGTGGAAGTTAGTTCCATCGAACTTGGAGATGCGGAGGGAGGAGGCGTCCATGGCAGCTAAGCTTGAATTGTTGGCGGTTTCAGAGTCTGACGAACTTGGGCTCATAACCTGATGAACTTTAGACTTCTTGGTCCGAGTGCAAAACGCAAAGTGAATATATATTTATAATAGGTACTTAGTTCGCAACTTTGAATACTACCTCTAAGCCTATTATTCGCAGTGACGTCATCCAGTGACGTCACCCACTGACGTCACCCACTGACGTCATGCAATGACGTCATCCAGTGACGTCATTTCCTGACTTCGCCCTTACTGGTACATACCGGTACCCACCGGTATAGCGAAGCTTGGTCTTCCACTTGCTTCAACACTTGACGCAGCTTGACGAGGTGTCTTCTTCACAGCCGCTGTCTTTTCAACATGTCGGACTTGTATTCACCCCCATTGTCGCTTTGAAGGTACTTCACGCGCTTTCCGGTTTGCGTTTCGGCCATCGCAGCGTATTCCATGAACTTCGCCGCAACTTCAGATTTGCTCTTGAGCAGATAGACGACACAGTATCTTGACTTGTCATCAATGAATGTCACGAAGTACCGTTTTCCACTGAAAGTTGCCATCGACATCGGTCCGCATACGTCGCTGTGAATCACTTCGAGGAGTTTGGAGGTGCGAGCTGTAGTGTTTGATTGGAAGCGCACTCGAGTCTGTTTTCCCAGAGCACAACCTTCACACACGTCCCACTTCTTCACCGAAGATATGTCGATGCCAATTCCAATGTTCTTCGTCACGATGCAATTGAGTCCATCGTGACCTATGTGGCCAAGCCGAAGGTGCCAGAGGTACGACTTGGTGCCCCCTTGACATCCCGACGACTTGGCTGCATTTGCTTGTTCCGGCGCCACTGGAGTCATTTGCAGCTTGAACAGTCCTTTACCTTCACGGGCACCAATTTTCCACTTGGTCCCTTTCGCTTCTCCATAGCACCCATCCTTCGTGAACGTCACTGGGCCGACATCCTTGGTGAAGCGGCCGACCGAGAACAGGTTTCTGGATAACTTTGGGATGTGCCACACGTTTGTGAGCACACCTTTCTTCATCCCTTGGGGTGTCTTCATCGACATGACAATGTCCCCACTGCCGATTGCTTGGACGATTCCATCATCCGCGAGATGGACATCCACAGCGTCAAACCCCTTGTAGTTCCGCATGAACTTCTTGGAGCACGTCATGTGCTGCGTCGCCCCGGAGTCGACCAGCCAGATGTCGCTCGATTTCGCAGATGTCGTTTCACCGATCGAAAAGAGGTAGTCGCCCGAGTCTTCTTCTTGAGCGACGTTTGCACGTTGTGATCGATAGCGGTCGCCGCTGTCTTGAGCACGCTGTGGCCGGTGTCTCTCCGTGTTTTCTTGGATGCGCGAGGGGCACTCCGCCATCCAGTGACCAATCTTTCCGCAATTGTGGCACGGCCAGGACTTCTTCACTGGTCGCCCTTTGCGCTGATTGTCCCTTGTGATGAACGCTTGACCTTGCGAAGCTTCATCACCTTTACTTCCTTGCTCCTTCCGCTTCATTTCTTCATGAAGCAGTCGAGACGTCACGAGCTCCCAGCTAAGAGTGTCTGAGCGCGACTCCAAAGCTGTGATCAAGAATTGATACGAGTCACTCAGGCTGCCGAGGAGTGTGATCACCAGATCGTCCTCGCAGACTGGAGCCCCCACCGCTTCTAGCTGTTCCGCCAGCGTCTTGAGCTTGTTGATGTGTTCGAGCACATCGTCGCCTTCTTCCATCATTGTCGTGAAGAAGCGACGGCGCAAGAACAGCTTGTTGGCAAGACTCTTCTTCTCGAAGTGGTCTTCCAACCTTGACCATGCGTCGCATGCACCACTTGCCGACCGGACCAACGGTAGCTGGGAATCTTCCATGGCTAGACAGATCACTGCCATCGCCTTTCTTGACTTCCTCTTGTACGTCGCTTGGTCCAACTGAGTCTCGCACTGTTCCGCCTTGATCTCACCGCTGACGACCTCCCATAGGTCCCGTTCCTCCAGCACCATCTGCATCTTGAACTTCCAGGCGTGGAAGTTAGTTCCATCGAACTTGGAGATGCGGAGGGAGGAGGCGTCCATGGCAGCTAAGCTTGAATTGTTGGCGGTTTCAGAGTCTGACGAACTTGGGCTCATAACCTGATGAACTTTAGACTTCTTGGTCCGAGTGCAAAACGCAAAGTGAATATATATTTATAATAGGTACTTAGTTCGCAACTTTGAATACTACCTCTAAGCCTATTATTCGCAGTGACGTCATCCAGTGACGTCACCCACTGACGTCACCCACTGACGTCATGCAATGACGTCATCCAGTGACGTCATTTCCTGACTTCGCCCTTACTGGTACATACCGGTACCCACCGGTATAGCGAAGCTTGGTCTTCCACTTGCTTCAACACTTGACGCAGCTTGACGAGGTGTCTTCTTCACAGCCGCTGTCTTTTCAACAGGTATGTCGATGATATCCTCAAGCGCTTTGGCATGGATGATTGCAAGGCAGTCGCAAGTCCAGTCGACATGAGCTCTCGACTTGTTTCAAGTGAGCAA